CCGGTAGCTAATTTTTTGCTGCCCAGGCCCAGAATGGACTTCCGGAAGCAGCATCCACATAGAGAACTGGTTGTTCACATATTTGAATCCCAATACTGCCTACATTCTTTCTGTGGATTCACATTTTGTTTTCCAGACCACTGTCTAGTCTGCAGCTCTCTCAAAGTGATTTCCACATACCATTATCAGTTGTTATTTTGGCCTAGCCTTTCCTACACTTGGAACAAACCATATCCAAAAATCAATCAGTCTTCAGCTAATGTATTTTCAGGAGGGGGGGAAGCCTGCTGTTAAATATGAGAGCCACAGAAAACATTTCAAAATACAGCAAACACATGGGCCAGTCCACAAGATAACTGATCTGTTTCCCTTACTGGGGAAAAACTAGATAATATATGCCCACTGGTTGTATAGACTTTTAAAATCAGTTATTATTAATTCTCCAAAGGAACCTATTTACAAGGCATGAGTAAAAAAATTATATTAACTAAATGATAGTTTTGTTCTTGGTTTTTTAGACCAAGTCTGCCATCTAGTGGCCAAAATGTTACAATAAAATATGAAAATACCACTTAAAATACATCACTTAGAACCGATAAAGTGAGTGAGACTAGGCTCCCGAATTTAGATTTTCCATTTTGCAGTTTCTATATCTGTAGAACCAATAATGTGTGTGTGTGTGTGTGTGTGTGTGTGTGTGTGTGTTGTGTGTGTGTGTGTGTGTACACGTGCGAGCATGCAAGCGCATATGTATATGTATATAAAATATAAACATATAAAATCTAACTTTTGCTTCCATCTGAATGTTTACAGCCTGGAAACCCTAACATAATAACCTATATTAATTCAAATACAAGCCTGTTATATTAAGATAAAATTGTTTACAAATCACAATAACTGGATCAGCCATGCTAATTCAAATTAAACCAGCCATAATATACCTCAATTTTCACTTGCTGCCTGCACAAATGAATCTTTATGAATTGTCAGACCACTGGTTTCAGCCCCTAGGTTTCAGAGATTATCTTTGAATACAAGAAATCCTCCAATCTAGTCTTCTACATTGTTTCTCTCTCTGTCTCTCTTCTTAGGATTTACTTGGCTGAGCCTTTGATTATACTTGTCTTTTCTTGAACGTGTTCTAAGGTTTATGACCCTATCATTACACTATTAAAATTTATGCAAATCTTGCTCTACAGCTAAATATATATTTTATGTTTAAATATCTATATATCTATATCTATAATGTTAGATTATATTTCCATACTGTATTACTATAGCAATTATTCTACTTGCCTATCATTTCAGTACTTTTATTATTTTATTATTATTAGTTTTATTATTTTTATCTTTCATTTCAATATCTATATTGAATTTTCCCCATGCTTATTATGGTCCTCTCCAGAAAATGTGTGTCTGTCCCTCTTGCTTCCTTTTATGGCTTCCCACACAGCGAGCGATAGGTTCAGCTCTTGTATTCCTTCATTGCAAACTCTGCTTCTTATAAATGGACTTAACAGCCTGATGACGGTTTCTCCCAGCTGCTGCAAGCCCTGGTGTATTTTGCCCTCACGGTGGCTTCAGCTGTTGTTCCTTTTTTATGATGAAGTATCATCTACATACCAGAGCCATATTCTAGAGAAGACACTTAAAACAATCAACAACATCATCAAAGGAAATTCACAAGGGATGAAAAAAACAATACCTTACTGTTCCTGGATATCCTCAACTGCAGAGGAAACAAGGACAAATGAGAAAAGCACGTTTATTGAACAACAGCCCACACTAACCCAATGTTCTATTATCATAATAATTTTATTAAAGTTTAAAAATACAAAGGTAAAAGAGTAATACAAACTAAAGAAAATATAAAAAGTAAAATGCTCCCGCGTAAAATTGGAAGTGTCTTGGCGACGTTTCGACGAAGTCCCATTCGTCATCTTCAGGCTGGTGTTTTCAGCTTCGTGCTTTGAGCAGCAATGTGTGGTCTCTGAAGCTTTAAATGAAGCAAAATGATGGTGGTAAATTGGGCTGAATGTTTCTCTTCTCACATTCATATAGCTTCCCATCATAGCAACATATATGGGAAGGGTGGGGGATATTACTATTCATTTCTTTTTCTGTGGATTAGTATAAAGGGTTTTTTATAACAATAGGGTCTGTGATGGCTCAGGGGAAAGGGCATTGACTGAATGGTATTTTTGCATTAAACAGTGGTTAGCTCATGGTATTCTTTCCATGTTTTCAGCATTTTGAGGACCTGGGGAATAGAAATGTTGATGGGATGGAAGAGCCTTATAAAGGCCCATAAGAAATTAGGGATAATAAAAATGCTGCTGGTGGATTGCATGGAATCAGTATAAAGCACAGGTGTCAAACTCGCCATGTCACATAACATGTTGTGACATATCATGACTCTTTTTGCTTTGCTGGCAATGGGGTGGGCACAGCTTCAGTATGATGAAACCGGCCTATGGGTTGGCAGTTTGACACCCCTGGTATAAAGATATCAACATTTTGGAATGGGGCCAGGGGTGTGGTCTTTCACAAAGAAGGTTGGAGGAACTGAGGGACTGAGAGGAGAGGAAGCAAACTGGACTCATTGGACCAGATGGGAAGAGGTTCAGCCCTGAATGATGAACTAATGAACTGAATGATGTAGTAAGGAACTGCAAAGGGAAAAAAAGGGGAAGTTGTGGAAATAGCTCTTCCTGTGAGCATTTTTGCAAAGGGGGAGGGAGAGGATTACTTAAATACATACTGTACTAAGAAATAAGCTGCACATTTAATGAAGTTACTTAGACCCTCTCTGCAGAACACAAGGAGATTCATCTCACTCAGTTCAATAGCTTACTGTTATTTATAGTTACTCTGTGTGATACTATACCAGTATGGTTATTGATGTTCTACCACAAGTAGCAATGGAGTTCTTACCAATTTAGAGGGTGGACATTTATCTTATTAATTCCCCAAAAGGGAGGGGAAACACTCCTCACCCCCCCCCCCGGTCCCCTAGTTAGTTGGAGCAGATTTGTTTAAAGGAAATATTAAAGGAAATGGAACAAATCATGCTTGGGAGATCTCTGAGTTTGGAACTAGAACTGTTATTGCATTAAAATAGGGTTGAACTACACTTCTAAATAATGGAAAAATTAAATGAATACAGACGGTCCTCAATTTACAAATACCTTTGAGCCCAAAATTTCCATTGTTAAGCAAGGCAGTTGTTAAGTGATTTTTGCCCCATTTTACAACTTTTTTGTCACAATTAAGTGAATCATGCAGTCATTAAGTAAATCTGGCTTCTTCCATTGAATTTTGCTTATCTGAAGCCAGCTGGGAAAGCTAAAAGTGGTGATCACATGATCCCAGGACACGGCAACTATCATAAAATAGATGCCAGTTGCCAAGCACCTAAATTTTGATCAATAAGGTGACCAACCGTCCTCCTTTAGGGAGGACAGTCCTCCTTTTGTGAGTTCTGTCCTTCCTCGAAAAGTGTCCTCCAACATGTCCTCCTTTTCGATATTTGAAGACTAATCTGTAGGGTTTTTTTTCTCATAGAATGCTCAAAACGGCATTCTGGCACCTTTTTTGATGTTTTTTTTCAACTTTTGCATGAGCTGTGCTACTCCCACTATTGGCTTTCAAAAGCCAATAGGAATTGCTGCTGAGCACGGCAAAACACCGGGCCGGCAAAATTTGCACATGTAAGTTGTCTGCAGCGAAGGCAAATTGGCAGGAACTTTGCACCCCTCCCTGCTACCCAACTACACCATCTCCTAGTTAGTCCTGAAGATACCTGGAGGAGACTGGAGCAGCGATGCCACATAACTTTCTCTTGATCTTCGGCCCTGCTAGGGCAATAATGGCTGCGGGCACAAGAGGCAGGGGGGCGGGGCTGCTGCGGACGGGGGTGTGAGGGGCGGTGGTAGCTGGCTGCCCCCCGTGCTGTGGGAGCTACGGGGCCTGCTCTACATGGGGCCGTGCAGGGTGGGCGGTGTGCTGGTGGGGAGGCTGCAGGCAGGGTGTGTTGATGGCGGGCTGCCCCCCAGGGCCGGAGCCGGCGCAGCTGGTGCTTTGGGAGCCGCGGGGCCCTCTCTACATGGCGGGGCAGCAGTGCTGGCGGGGTGGCTGCAGGTGGGGGCGTGGCATGTAAACATAATTACAATATAAAATGTTATTGTTACAAATGTTTTTTTATTATGCATTTATCATATTATAGTGTATTCTGTATTATTGTTGCAATGAATAAAATGTTTTATTTATGATATTTTTTCTTCAATTTATTTGTGTCCTCCTTTTCATTGTAAAAAAGTTGGTCACCTTATGATCAAGTGATCATGGGAATGCTGCAATGGTCGTAATTGTGACAAATCGGTCATAAGTCACTTTTTTCAGTGCCACTATAACTGTGAACAGTCACTAAACAAATGTAAATCAAGGACTACCTGTAATTGTTTATTTTAAAACTAATTGAATGTAATTAATCATTCTTGCTTTCCTTTCAATGAACTAAGATTATACTTTCATCCTCAATATGATTATTCTTCTTCATTACTGAAATACTAGAGATCATTTGTGAATGAACAGAATCAAAATATTGTTGTCCTATATATTAATAAACTTTTATACATTTATGATTTCTAAGATTATGTACATACATAAAGCTAAAAGTTGTTTTCTCTGCAACCCAACAATGCTTTTAAGAAGAATATTCAGAAAACAAATTAAAGGTAAAAAGCAATACATAAAAAACCTACCTGGTCATAACTAGAAAAACAGTGGTATGGGGCTTCCTTTATTCAGCCAGGAAAAAAAATAAATATAATAATCTCCCAAACTGATTTTAAAATTATTTCTTCCAGTCAAGATTAGTTAATTCTTAGGACCACTATAGCACATAAAATTTCTTGGTTATATGTTTCATGTTTGATGTTGAAGTGTACTCCTTATAGTGTTGTGGTAATTTTATGGGGGGTACTTTTAATAAACATTACACAGAAAACAAAGTAACATTGAAGAAAATTCTAACTCATGCTTTTTCCATCTTGTATGAGAGCATATTTTTAAAAAATCACACATATAATCCATATGATTAATTTTATTCATTCATTATTAAATCACTTATGTGGTTATTGATCTTTTCTGTTTATTTTTTCTCTGAAATGATTCAGTCACAGAAATGTCTATTGTCATTCTGGGATCACATACACAATTGTATATATGAGCAATGTTCTGGAAAGCCAAAATGGCACAGAAAAAGTAGAAAATCAGAATAAATCATATTCTATAATAGAAAACAGCATAAAACATTTACCCCAAAAATGTGAAACAACGAGAACTTCCAGCCAGCAGAATAGATCAAATTTCATTGGATATCAGCAACAAAAATACAATAGTCCTTTTTAAATGATTATTCCAACACATTTATCTAATGCCAGTAGGGATGGTGGGTAGAGTTTAGAGTTTAAAGGACTGACAGTCTACAATGGAAGGACAAAACAAAGATGAAGATGGATTGGGTAGATTTCACCAATGAATTAGTTCGAAGAAAAATATTGTTACTGCCTTGGACACTCTCATAATTTACCATGAACATTCTGAAAAAAATCTCATTTCCTTTTATGAGGATTTAAGAAAATTGCTGAGATATAATATCTTCTCTGTACTGAGCAATGACACATTTAAACAGAATTGCTGTATTCCTCAATAAGTTGAAATCAATAGCAGCCCTATGTCCTTCCCTTTTTTCCTTTCTTTTCCTTGACATGACAAATTGAAGGTGTGCAGGAGGATTGATTCAATTTGAGGGTTGAATTTTTGTCTTTTGGAATTTCATTAGAGGATTCACTCCTACAAAAAAAAGGTCAAAGGGATGTCAAGACAGAAGTGACCGGGTCAGAATCAAAAAGATGGCTGTACTTGCTTCTCTTTTGTTACTTTTAGTATATCTGCTATAAGAAATAAGGTTATCAGCCTCTACTGGTATTCCAATTTCATCTTGCGCATAGATGATATTTTGCCAACCTAATCTCAAAGCAACATGTTGTGCCACAAAGAAGAAAATTTTCTATACAGAATTATAAGGGGTGAAATGAATTTGAAAACTTTACCAATTCATGCTTGCTTTACATATTACTATGTGGTTCTTGAGGAATAATATTATAATGATTTATTAATTCCTTCATTAACAAAAAGAACAGATTGTGCAAAACTGGAATTTCTTATTAGACGTGGCTTTTTCCTATGCTATGGCATCCTTTAATTTTGTTGTTGGGTGATCATGTGCTCATTCCCACAGCCTACTAGAAAGAACGAGAGGTGGCAGGTGTCCAAGTTGAATCAGTTAATCTGGAGAAAGCAGGTTCCAATTGGGTGTCCATGTTGCTGGCAACTGTGCCTGATAAACCAGATGAGGATGTGGCAGGCAACGCAATGCTGCTTCGCAGAAATGGGGAACTGCTGCTTATATCACTTGCCAGGTTAGCAACGTTGACAGCATTGTTACTGACAGTCCAGAGGCAAGGATAGTGACTGCAATAAAGAAAAAAAACCCCAACAACTGAAATTTGCAACTACCTTTATCATGGTAGAATAGGTAATCATTTGTAGCGGGAAATTGTATTTCTTTATTCAATGCATTATTTGTCTTGCACAGAAATAGGGCTCTAGAATCATGATTTTATGCAAAGATATAGCACCCATTTTTCATTTCTTTCTAACTTAGGGCAAGGTTGGGAAGTTTCTTGCAGCTTTAGGTGTTTCAGCCTATTGTGGTGAAACAATTTAGTAAAGCTCTAAGGTTCAAGAGAAATTTAAAAAATGTTTTAGGAACCACATGAAGCCTTTAACATGAATGTCTGCACTTGGTATGAAGGAATATAGCATTCAAAACTTAAACTTGTTTCATTTTGGTTTATCCATTTTTCTTATTATCTGAGAACTTAACACTAAGCCTCCCTTTGTTGGATTTGAGAATAGATGGTCTGATTAGGCTACAATTTACAGCACAGCTGTATAATAAATCAGTCTTTTCAGTAAAACACTTCTTGCAACAATTAGAATATACAGTATTTTGAATCTAGCCAAACTCCTGGTGACTTCATGGACAGTTATCCTGCAACAGTATGGACATATTTTGCTATCGTCTTCCACAATATTTTTCCCCAATTTCCCAGGTTCTATTTTCTTGTGGTTTTTCACCCAAGTACTAACCCTGTTTTGCTTTTGAGCCCAACCAAGTTTTAAATTGCAACTTCAGAGACAAGCCAGTCCTAAATACTTAGACCAGAGGTCCCCAACCTTTGGGGCACTAGGGACCGAATCCGTGGAGAAAGGTTTTTCCATAGACCTGAGGGTGCATGTTTTTGTGTGCTGCCTGCATCCCACGGATGGGGCTTTGCTTGTTTGCACGGACCGGTTGCTAGCATGCCATGGCCCGGTACCAGTCCATGGACTGGGGGTTGGGGACCCCTGACTTAGACTGATATTTATAAGCAAAATATAATCATTCTTTCTAATTAAAGCTGTGTCTCACCATATAACCATTTTATTGAAGGACGAAAGGCAGTGTATAGTAAAATCTGACCTATTTTTCATCCTCCATTGTACACAAGAAGGGCTGCTGGAACTGCTGAAATATCACTGCTGGTAGAACATATACACTGAAGAGATGCTTGCTTACCTGGGCCCTGGAGCAGTAGTACCACTATTGTGTGGCACTGGGACCAGGTTGTTGTGGTGACTGGAGGGTCCTGTAGGCCAACCTTCATGGCCTGGAGACACTTGGAAATCATTGTTGGCATTTTCTGTCAGAGTCACTTTAGAATAGGAAACACAAAGAATTCAGAATGATTGCAAGATTGTGACTAATTTTGCCTAAAAATGAAGTCTCCTTGGAATCTGATTTGACACCCAGGGATATCATTGGTGTAACTTTCTTACCAACAATACAGACATAGTTTCCATTCTCTGTGTTTGTCTGTCTAACCTTACAACTTAATTTACAGTCCTCGTATTTCTTTGTGGTATTTCCTATCAAAATACTCTTTCAAAATCCTTTTACTGTGATACAATTGCTATCATTTTATGTGATGTAATTTGGCATTGGATACCAAATACTGAAATACTGTGTGTTGTATAGTTTTTTTTTTAAAAAATTACTTTTAAAATAACTAAAATAATTAATTTAATTAATTAATTTGGTTAATTAAAATAACAAAATGAATGTTTAATAAAATTATCAAAATTTATATAGTAATTACAAATCAGGAAAAATGTTATCATCTATCCCAGGCACATATAAAATGAATTCTTTAGTCCCCAAATGCTCTCTGGAAGAGTCACATTTTCAAAAGCAGTGAGGGCACAGATCTTCATTGGTGGGAGGGCATTTTGCAGGATGAGAGCCCTCACAGAGAATGCTTGGCTCTGAGGCCATCCTCTTGAACAGAGGTCCTCAACCTTGGCAACTTTAAGACTTGTGGACTTCAGCTCCCAGCTGTCTGAGGAATTCTGGGAGTTAAAGTCCACAAGTTTTAAAGTTGCCAAGATTGAAGACCCCTGCTCTTGAAGACTCTCAGATGCCATCTACCAGCATTCCACAGATGAGCAGATTCTATTTGGAGTAAGTCCTCTCATATATATAACTTCAGGACCTACCATAATCATCACCAATATTTCAAACTGCACCTGGAAAGATGCTGGCAACCAGTGCAGTTTCTGCCGTATTGGCAAAACTGGGAGGTTCCTATTATAGGTAGTCCTCGACATTCGACAGTTCATTTAATGAAAGTTATAACGGCACTATAAAAGTGATTTGTGATCATTTTCCACACTTATGACCCACTTTGGCATCTCCATGGTCACATGATCAAAATTCAGATGCTTGGCAACTGATTCATATTTATGATGGTTGCAGTGTCCTGGAGGTCATGCAATCCCCATTTGTGACCTTCTGACAAGCAAAGTCAATGGGGAAGCCAAATTCACTTAGCAACTGTGTTACTAATTTGACAACTGCTGTGATTCACTTAACAACTGTGGCAAGAAAGATCATAAAGTGGGGCAAAACTCATTTAACAAGTGTCTCACTTAAAAACAGAAATTTTGGGCTCAATAGTCATAAATTGAGGACTACCTTTAGGACATAAATCAGTGAAGCTTATAGGCAGTACCATGTACAGCCAATTGCAATAATCCATCATAAGATGAAGCATATGAGTAACTATGAGTGACTTGGCCAGTGTCTCTTGTTCCAAAAACAGGCAAAGCCTCTCCTGTCCGTAACTAAAAATCTAAGAAAACTCAAAGATTCTGAATCATCTCTTTTTGGGAAAGCACAACTCTGTTTTGAACCCAGTTAGTATGGTCTCAGACTCAGTCTGAGCAAAGTCTGTCAGCAGCCACACTGACTTCCTTGAGTTAAGTTCTAACCTGTTCTTCTCCATCCACTGTCTGTCCTCCTTTCCACATCCTGACTGAGACCACCCACTCAGGACTAAAATCACTGCAGAAGAGTTTCCCAATTCCTGATTATTTCAGGCACTCTAGAAGGATGCCATCTTCAGCAGTCACTCTCTTTCTGTCAAACTTCTACCACTAAATAAGAACAACAATCCCATGTCTGAAATGGAAGCCAAACTGAAAAGTGTTCTTTTTCTTCCAGAACACTCTGGACTTGCAATTCACCGTCTTCTCATAAGATATCAGTAAGTAGGGGAAATTGGAGATTGGACAATATCGCTACAGTATTGCTAAATCCAAAGTTGGCTCCAAAGGGGGTGGTGGGCACCATTTCTTCAAGGACATTGGCATCTTTCCTTCTACAGTGATGTATTAATGACACTAGGCAGAGCCTCCTGTCCTCAGGTCAGATGGGGCAGGGCTCCAACTCACAAGTAGCGGGGCTTATTTCATCAAGGACTTTGTCTACTTCCTTAGGATTATTAAGTTCAAATTATTCTCATCTTAGAGCACAAAATGTCATCCTTGGCATTTCTTTGGATCTAATCAATTGGCAAATAATTGACAATTACTATATTTGCACAGTGCTTAGCTTACACATTACAACAGCCCACCAAGTGTTCTTATGGCTCATTCTTCCTTAAAGGTAAATCATAAAAAAAAGCTGGTAGCTATCATCCTGTACATTCAATAAGGGCAGAGAAGTAAGTCCATTTTCCTACCTTTATCTCCATTGGCCTAAAATTGGGCTTATACTCACTTCCAATAAAATTCACTCTTCCACTTTTACTAATATCAATTCTGGTAAATCCTTTTCCAGTGATCCTCATAGAACAAAGAAGTCTCCAGGACTGGGATAGAAGGAGATGCTACTCAAAAAGGGTCCTATCAGTGAATTCCTTGCCTTCATGCCTCAGAGGATTTACAACAGAACTATCTAAATTCCTAAGTGCCTTCTGAAAACTAAATGTGTTATCAGACAACTCTTCAAGTTGGCATTACCTACCTGGACAGATTAATGATGACAAAAAAATAACCAGCCCTTGACAAGGAAGTAGTTCTTATCTCCTCACCATCAGATCATCTATTAACTGCTTAAAATTATAGACAAGTTCTAGCATATGCCCTTTCCCTGAGCCCATAATGATGTGATTTGGGACAAACCATGATTGTCATGGTGACCATGAACCCCCAAGCCATCTCCAATCCCCTTCAGCCTCGAAATAGCAGATTAAAATCACCAAATACAATTATTCTTGATGTCCCAATCATCAACTTAGGAATGAAAATGAGAAGTTTGGGCATAGATGCCACTGTGCAACTATGAGGCTGGTACAAGAGCAGAGGGCTAGTACTAGTAGCACCAGAAAGAAGGAAGCGACTGGGCCAAAGCCGAAAGGACGCTCAGCTGTGGATATATCTGGTGGTGAAAGGAAAGTCCGATGCTGTAAAGACTTTTTCTCCATAGGAACCTGGAATGTAAGATCCATGAATCAAGGCAAGCTAGACGTAGTCAAAAAAGAGATGACAAGACTGAACATCGACATCTTAGGAATCAGCGAACTAAAGTGGACAGGAATGGGTGAATTTAACTCAGATGATCATCAGGTATACTACTGTGGGCAAGAATCCCTCAGAAGAAATGGAGTAGCCTTCATAGTCAATAAAAGAATAGGAAAAGCAATACTGGGATACAATCCCCAAAATGACAGAATGATCTCAATTCGAATCCAAGGCAAACCATTCAATATCACAGTAGTCCAAATCTATGCCCCAACCACTGGTGCTGAAGAGGATGAAATTGACCGGTTCTATGAAGCCCTACAGCACCTTATAGAATTAACACCAAAAAATGATGTCCTTATCATCATGGGGGATTGGAATGCTAAGGTAGGAAGCCAAAAGATAACCGGAATAACAGGCAAGTTTGGCCTTGGAGTACAAAATGAAGCAGGGCACAGGCTAATAGAATTTTGTCAAGAGAATACGATGGTCATAACAAACACTCTTTTCCAACAACCCAAGAGACGGCTCTACACATGGACATCACCAGACGGTCAACATAGAAATCAGATTGACTATGTGCTCTGCAGCCAAAGATGGAGAAGCTCTATACAGTCAGTAAAAACAAGACCAGGAGCTGACTGTGGCTCAGATCATGAGCTTCTCGTTGCAAAATTTAGGCTTAAATTGAAAAAAGTAGGGAAAAGCACTAGGCCACTCAGGTATGAACTAAATCATATTCCTGATGAATATACAGTAGAGGTGACAAATAGATTTAAGGAATTAGATCTGATAGACAGAGTGCCTGAAGAACTATGGATGGAAGTTCGCAACATTGTACAAGAGGTAGCAACTAAAACCATCCCAAAGAAAAAGAAATGCAAGAAAGCAAAATGGCTGTCTGAGGAAGCTTTGCAAATAGCTGAGGAAAGAAGGGAAGCGAAAGGCAAAGGAGAAAGAGAAAGATACACCCAATTGAATGCAGAATTCCAGAGAGTAGCTAGAAGAGATAAGAATGCCTTCTTAAATGAACAGTGCAAAGAAATAGAAGAAAACAACAGAATAGGGAGGACCAGAGATCTCTTCAAGAAAATTGGAGATATGAAGGGAACGTTTCATGCAAAGATGGGCATGATAAAGGACCAAAATGGCAGAGACCTAACAGAGGCAGAAGAGATTAAGAAGAGATGGCAAAACTACACAGAAGAACTATACAAGAATGAGCTTAACATCCCAGATAACCACAATGAGATGGTCATTGACCTCGAACCAGACATCCTAGAATGTGAAGTGAAATGGGCCTTAGAAAATCTGAGCAACAACAAAGCTAGTGGAGGTGACAGTATTCCAGCTGAGCTATTCAAAATCTTAAAAGACGATGCAGTAAAAGTGCTACATTCAATTTGCCAGCAAATTTGGAAAACTCAACAGTGGCCACAGGATTGGAAAAGGTCAGTTTACATTCCAATTCCAAAGAAAGGCAATGAGCGCAAAAGAATTGAGGCCTTTGAACTATGGTGCTGGAGAAGACTCCTGCGAGTCCCTTGGACTGCAAGGCCTTCAAACCGGTCAGTCCTAAAAGAGATCAACCCCGACTGCTCTTTAGAAGGCCAGATCCTGAAGTTGAAACTGAAGTACTTTGGCCACCTAATGAGAAGGAAGGATTCACTGGAGAAGAGCCTAATGCTGGGAAAGATTGAGGGCAATAGAAGAAGGGAACGACAGAGAATGAGATGGCTGGATGGAGTCACTGAAGGAGTAGGTGTGAATTTAAATGGACTCCAGAAGATGGTAGAGGACAGGAAGACCTGGAGGAATGTTGCCCATGGGGTCACGATGGGTCGGACACGACTTCGCAATTAACAACAACAACAACAAGAGAAGCATCCTTAGGCTTTCCCTTTGGCACAACTGCATATAAAGGGCTTCACATGCAGACATCTGTGAAACAAACTACTAGTAATTATTAGGATCAATCGAAAGACAAGCAGTACTCTTGGGGTCAAGGCTGATGCAGCACGGGAAACTCAGATAGATAAACATTAGTTAGGACCACCCACACATTCTTGCCCACCCAAGCTTCAGTAATACCAGTTTCTTACGGATTGCTTTCAATAAATAAATTAAATGCAAAACAAGACAAGAACTTGCCTGGATAATTATTTTTTTGCATGTATGAAGCAGGATATGGAACGGCTCTGTGTCCTCTTAGAGCTGAATAATGTTCACAGCCATGATGGGAATGTGGAGCAGGCAGAGAAAAACTCCCCGTATATGGATAATTAGAAGATCCTGCTGCACAGACAGCATCAGGATTGGAAATCAACCAACCACCCACTATGGAAATATTGAGAATTGAGTAAAAAAAAAAAAGATGAAGTAGGGAAACAGGAATATGCATGCATGCATACATACATACATCTTTTAGTCTGTCATGCAAACATATACTCAAAAAACATAGGATAACTAAATAATCTTTTCATCTCAAAGAAAAAGATTGGAAGTAAAAAACATCTAATCTAAGTTCTTTTTACTGGAGGTTTGTTTTCCTTGAGCAATTAGGCACAGCAGTGAAGTTCATGGTTTGATATATATAGGTGAGGATCATAAAGTTGCTCTGCTTGTATATGATACTGTTTTCTATATTAAAAATAATAAAATCAATTGATAGCCTGCAGTACATTATATACTCTGAGTATATTATTAATAAATCTAAATGTGAAATAAGTAGTTTTGATTTATCAAAATTAGCAAGGAAACACCACCCCTAGAATGTATTCTACATCTCATCAAGTACTTGAGGATTTAACATGTTTTTTTTACAAAGTAGTAGCCATATAATAATTATTTATGAATGGCTGCTTGACTACTCTAAATTAAAATTTCTAAAGTAAATGTCACATATTTTATTATCAGTGAAATTGCTGTTGATTAGTTGTAGATATGGTGTTGAAAATGCTACTTTGATTTATACAATGTGGCTCCCTTTTGTATTCTTTTTTCACAAATTAATTTTATCCTAGAAGATGGGATTTTGTAGATGTTTTCATTCCATGCATAATGTACCAACAACTTGGAAATTAGCAGTTTGGGACTTCTTTGATAACAAAAACGTTGATATTAGAAGACTGGAAGGGAATCTATTTTCTATCAGCAGTATAGTTATGTACTTCAAGTCCTATACTTCAAGTCTTCATCAAGAACTCCACCTGTAGAACTAATAGACAATTGGAATCCATAATTTATATGTTTAAGTTCACTTTCTCCCCCACAGGTAAATAGACTAATTTAAATCTTAATTATATGCATCCTTGTAAAATAATGAACTTATTTTTCAATCAGTGATCAATCTTCCTTGAGACTTTGGTTTATCTACTGGTATTTTATCACTTCAGAATCTATTCATAAAATTGAAATGCTCTTCCCCAGCAATTAAAAGAGTGCCTATAACCTAGTATGTGTGTCAAATTATTTAATACTTAGATTTGTCCAAATGTTTCAGCTAAGCCGATAGTTTTCTTGGCAACATTGCTGGAGTTGTTTGCCACTGGCATTCCTCTGGGTCTGAGTCTGGAAATTCTTTTTCTAGGTGGCTTAGTTTTTCTCATGCCTATAGAACCCTATATCTGTTATGAGTTGACCTTTACTTCAGCTCTCTCTTTATGATTTTACTAGCAAGGATGAGCCTTTTAGAAGAGCAAACTTCTTACGGCATCATTATCAGAATCACTGAGTTCTCTCACCAGATTAAATTAGCAATCCCTTGGAGGTTGATACAGAGAACCAGTTTGGCCTAGTAGTTAAGGTGCTGACCTGAAAACTAGGAGACTAAAGAGTTCTAGCCCTGGATTAGGCATGAAAGCTGGCTGGGTGACTTTGGGCCAGTTACTCTCTCAGCACAACTCAAACCCACCTCAGAGAGTTGTTGCTTTGGGGAAAATAGAAGAAGGAAGTATTATGTATGTTTGCCACCTGGAGTTATTTATAAAATAATAAAGGTAAGATAAAAATAGAATAAATAAATAAATATACAGTAATGCTATTTCTGTGTATATAAAGAATGCTCACTGATCCATAATCACTATATTAATGTGTAAAACAAAGTACAGTAACTTAGCAGGTGACAATATCTAAATATTGGCATTCCTCTGGGTCTGAGTTTGGAAATTCTTTTTCTAGGTGGCTTGGCCTTTAGGCCCAAAGGTTAAGCAGGGGGATGCTTGGTTAATATTTGAATGGGAAATTACCAAGGAATACCAGATCTATACCATGGAAGAATACAATACCCTATTCCCATCATGTTGCCAAGAAAACGCATGGACCAATCACAAAGTTAGCAGTAGTTGAGTTAGATTCAAAGTAAACCCTATATTTTAACAGTGAGTAGGAATATTAAGCAGATAAATAACTGGTCAGTGACTTTAAAAAGTCACAATTCCTAAAAATGAAAATGATGAGTTGGTGTAATCTAATGCATTATTTGAAAGGAAGCTATCTTGACCAGAAAAAAAGATAAGTGTGAGGTGATGTAAGAGATAGTATAAAAGGAATGCATACAAGAAGGAACAATGAGGCAATGTCATTACATTTTGCTTTTGCTAAATAGATTTTTTTTATTGGCTATGCCCATCACGGTAGCAATTTGTACAAAGGCAGGCTCAACATGGCAATGATGTTGTAAGAATATTCATAACAACATATCTATTACTTCTAAAGTTTGCCTTCCCTGTGAAATAAGGTGCTCAGAATATTATGCCAATGGATAAAATTGGTAATAAGGACATCTGAGTAAAACCCTAATCACAACTGCTGGAAACTGGAAAAAATATTGCTGTTTCACACTATTGCCTATTATTCAAAATGCTTTTCCATCTGTGAACCATCCAACACTGTGCACTGACAGATGTTATTATAGCAATAGTCATCGGTAACCTTATATTATCAATTTAAAGTAAGCAAATGCTAGTATATAACTTACAGTGAGAATATGTCATGTGTTGACTTTCAGAGACAATATCTGGAGCATCCTTGGAGTGATTTCTGAGGGATAATGAGATTAAAGTTTCATTGATTCTGGTAAAATTATTCTTCCATTAACATGTCTTTATTCTATAATGATGTTCTGTGGGTTATTTATTATTTATCAGTGTAATTAACTTCATAAAGCTCTCTTACATTCTTTGTCATTAAACTCTGCCAAAGAATTATTATAATCCCTAATCATAATGTATACATTACATTAGTGTTTATTATATTTTTAATGCAGATTACAAACTACGAATGAAGAACAGGAAACTAGCTGGTATTCTTCTATCACCAACAAGTTTCATACATTTGATGAACTGATCTTACCTTTCTTTTGCATCCAGAAATGCCTTGGCAAAAGGGTTGTATTTGATTTTGAGAGCTGTTATCTTGAGATTCAAGAAAGAAGGGTTCTGTTAAGTCTTTTAAAGGTGACTGTTGATCATTTTTCCACATTCAAATATATTGCACCAAGAAGTTATACAAAGGCAAGGCACAAAATGTGAAAAATAGAAAGTTTTCTTCATACCATATATAATTTAATGCAGCTCTGAGTTTTATTAAACGATGCATGATGTAGAGAGGGAGAAAAATTGTACCTTTTAAAGAAGTTAAAATATAGATTTAAAACAATTTCATAGTTGAATACTATTTAGATGTAAATAGTCCAAACATTAACTTGGACAACTTTAAAAGAATATTAAACAATCTTCCCAAAAAAAGAAAGCAATCAATCACATAATGATTTTATATTAACCTCCACTATCAAAAGCTATGTAGTGAGGAACACAACTTGGTTGGAGTTATTGCCTATGGGCATTTAGCTGTCCTGTGGCGGCACAGTATTGAACTAAATTGGCCTAGCCAATTTCTCTCTTAAGCAGAAACTTTAATTTTGCAGTTGGAAGAAACTAACTTTCTGAACCAGCAGGATAACATCTGGTGTCCCATGAATGCCTCTTATGTTGTTATTGAATAGCAGGCATGCAAGAAACACATCCTTGTTGATAAAATCAAACAATACTTATTTTAAAGAAGAGCAGTGGATCACAAAATTTACCTGGGCACTTTAAAGTTATTCCCATAACTGATAAATTGCTTTTATATGATAGTCACCTACCTCTTCATTCTGATAGGCAGTCACAGCAATAAACTGAGTTTCAGGAAAAGAACAATTCATTACCATCCTATGTGGGCCTCCTACCCGAACAATATGAACTTGAGGCTCATATTTATGTAGGGAATTCAACATAATCTAGAATGAGAAAAAGGGAGAGAAAATAATTGAAGAGATACTATTTTGTATCCTACAAAAACCTATGACATATGGAAGTTACTATGCAAAGTTGAAGTCAATGCAAGATGAGACCCCTGGTGATCAATTAATTTGTGGCCCAAATGTTGCAATTACACAAACATTTCAATATACTCCTGTTATTTCCAAAATCAGGAAGCTTTCATTGTAAGGCCTGTTGCAATATATGGATCTGACAAGCCTTTCTTCTCCATCAACACCACTCTCAAAAAGGGGGAGAGGGAAATAACTAACTAATAACAACTATAGCTGGTTTATTGCTAATGAACCATGATTAGTTTCATCTTGAGTCACTTTACCTGTAGGTGCATAAACAGCTGCAAAGTAGGTATACGGGTCAATATAAAAGAGAAAAAAAGTGACATTACCATAGGTGTATATTACAGGCCACCCAACCAATCAGAAAAAATAGACGAACTCTTAGCCAACCAGTTAACAAATGCATGTAGGAAGCATACCATAGTAGTAATGGGAGACTTCAACTATCCAGATATCAACTGGGAGACAAACTCTGCAGTGAGTGGGAGATCAAACATTCCTAACCAACCTAGTCGACAACTTTGTCACCCAAAAGGTGAAGGAGAGAACTAGATGTAAAGCTATACTGGACTTAATCCTTACAAATAGAGAAGAAGTGAAAGAGGAAATCGAAATTACCAGAACCTTGGGTGAAAGTGACCATGTCATACTAGAATTTAATATAATGCGAACACTAGCAATAGAAAACAATTCAACCAATGTCCTAAACTTCAAAAGAGCCGACTTTAACAAACTCAGAGAGAACCTAGGAAAGATCCCATGGATAAAAATCCTAAAGGGGAAAACAACCCAAGAAGCGTGGGAAACCCTGAAAAATGCAATCACAAAAGCCCAGACCAGCACAAAACCCACTGAGGGAAAAAACAAGAAATCCAAGAAGAAACCAGCATGGCTGCACAAAGATCTCTCTAACAAACTAAAAGACAAAAAGGACAAATACAAAAAAATGGAAAGAGGGGCACATAACTAAGGCCGATTATCAGCAGACAGCCAGAACATGCAAACATGAAGTCAGGAAAGCAAAGGCTCAGAATGAATAAAAACTTGCAACAGAAATCAAGGACAATAAAAAAAAAGTTTCTTCCAACATATTAACAACAAGAAAAAAATCAAGGAAACTGTAGGCCCCTCTAAAGAGAGAAGATGGCAAAGAAATTACCGGCAACAGGGGGAAAGCAGAGCTGCTTAGCTCATACTTTGCATCAGTCTTCACACAAAAAGAAACTATAGACGAACACACCAAAAAACCCACAGCAAAAGACATACTAGAAACAAAAATTAAAATAAGCAAGAAAATGATAAGAGAACATCTATCCAACCTTGATGAATATAAATCACCAGGACCCAACAGACTACATCCCTGAAAGAGCTAGCAGATGTTATCTCAGAACCGTTGCACCACATCTTTCATAAATCCTGGAGCACCGGGGAAGTACCTGGGGATTGGAAAAGGCCTGATGTGGTTCCCATCTTCAAGAAAGGGGGAAAAAATGGATCCAGGAAACTACAGACCAATCAGTTTAACATCAATACCTAGGAAGATCCTAGAAAAGATAATAAAAAAAGCAAACAAAGTCATAACTAGTAGCCAGCAGATCTGTTAAAAACAGATCATGCCAAACTAATTTTATCTCATTCTTCGATAAAATGACTAAACTAGTAGATAAGTGAAATGCAGTGGACATAGTATACTTAGATTTCAGTAAGGTATTTGACAAAGTAGACCACAACCTACTCCTTGGTAATCTAGGAAAAGGTGGAATAGACAACATCACCACCAGATGGATCTCTAACTGGCTGACAAACCGTACTCAACGAGTAGTCCTCAATGGCACTACATCCACATGGAGAGAAGTAAGCAGTGGGGTACCACAAGGTTCCGTCTTAGGCCCAGTACTCGTCAATACCTTCATAAATGACTTAGATGAGAGAATTGAAGGGGAACTCATTAAATTTGCAAATGACACCAAATTGACAGGAATAGCGAACACCCCAGAACACAAACTCAGGATCCAAAAAGATCTTGACAATGAGCCCTATCCAACAAAATGAGTTTCAATGTGGAGAAAAGCAAAGTCTTACATCTAGGCAGGAAAAACCAAAGATACAAATACAGATTGGGCGAGACCTAGCTTAAAAACAGCAACTGTGAGAGGGACCTTGGAGTCTTAGTGGATAATCACTTGACTATGAGCCAGCAGTGTGCAGCAGCAACCAAAAAAGCTAATACAATCCTGAGTTGTATAAACAGAGGCATAGAATCAAGATCACGCAAAGTATTAGTATCACTTTATAAAACCCTAATAAGACCACACCTGGAATACTGCAGCAATTTTGGAAACCGTATCACAAAAAAGATGTTGAGAGTTTGGAAAAAAAATTCAGAGAAGAGCAACTAAGAAGATCAAAGGCCTGGAGAGTAAAATATACGAAGAACAGCTACGGGACTTGGGTTTGGCTAGTCTAAAGAAAAGAAGAAATAGGGGAGACATGATAGCAATATTCCAGTATCTGAGGGGCTGCCACAAGGCAGAAGGGGCCATGTTGTTCACCAGAGCCCCAGAAGGAAGGACGAGAAACAATGGTTGGAAACTGATCAAAGAGAGAAACAACCTGGAATTAAGGAGAAACATCCTGACAGTGAGGACAATCAACCAGTGGGACAGCTTACCCCGAGAAATCATGGGGGATCCATCACTGGAGATTTTTAAGAAGAGACTAGACATTCACCTGTCTGAGACGGTATAGGTTCTCCTGCTTGAGCAGGGGGCTGGACTAGACCTCCAAGTCCCTTCCAGCTCTGTTCTATTCTAGGCAAGATAGAATAGACCAGCAAACAGTAACAGCAGCCTGAATCTGTTTTGAATACATTTTATATTAGAATTAGAAGGGCTGAGAGATGGAAACCAGGTTGACCAGAGATGGTCTATGACTAATAAGAAAGTTTCCAGGTTAGGTTTTTAATACATGGTTGCTCTGTCTTATTCTCAGGCTTTTATGGAGGCTCCAAAGATCAACATCCTTCAAATGCAATCGTTTTGCCTCTTCAGGCCAATTCTTCCATCTTTTTTTCCTAGAAAAAAACTGTTAAGGAAGACAGAAATAATACCGGGAAACCTTTTGAATGGTAGAGTAAGTGATCCTCCACTTGAATTCTTTGTTAAAACAATGAAATATTGCATTGTATTAATTTCATTGCACTTACGCATGGTTGAAGCAATGAAATTTAACAACTTCTTTTCTTTTCAGATCATGGATCTGGGTTAGTACAAAAACACAGTTCAATTCCCTTACATATTTTGGGGCTTCCTTCAGCAGAAATTGTATGCATATGAACTGGAAAAAATGGTTCAATTATGGTCAAAATGACTCCCTATTCCAGACATGTCAAACACAAGGCCCGAGGGCCAGATGCAGCCTGCGAAGTGGTTTCATGTGGCCCACGAAGCCATCCTGGAAACAGTGAGGGAATGGCTCCCGTTGCCTTGGCCCTGGTCCAGGCCAGCCAGGAGCCAATGCACAATTTTGTGGTGGCCATTTATGCTGAAACGCATTCAGTCTTAGCTCCACAAGACCGTCTGGAAATAGCAAGGAACCAGCCCCTGCCGCATCGCCCCCGCCCCCTGGGTACATACTGGAGAGGTGTCAGCCTTTGTGAGGAATGAAGAAATGCACCATCGCTTGGAAGTGGCCAACAAATGGCCCTCACCTACTTCACATATCCGGCTTGATAAGCTCCAGGAGAGAGGTTTTGGCAGGCAGCGGGGCGCTCTCCTCACAGCGCCGAGAGGCTGAGCCGGGTGGCGCGAAACTGATAAGGGCAATGCTGCCTAGCTCCCAGCCTGCCCAGTTTCAGCAGGCAGCAAGGTGCAAAGCTAGCGAGCTTCGCACCTCCCAGCCCAACCTCTTGATGCTGTGAGGAGAGCGCCCCACTGCCTGCCAAAACCGGGCAGGCTGGGGGCTGGGCGGCGTCGCACTTTTCAGATTTGTGCCGCCTGGCTCAGCCTCTCGGCACTGTGAGGAGAGCGCCTCACTGCCTGCTGAAACCGGCAGCATTGCACAGGTTTCAGGTAATGTTGACTCTCACACTGCTCATAGCATCCCCTCCCCCAGAGCCCACCAAGCCAGATATGTGAAGTAGGTGAGGGCCATGTGCTGGCCACTTCCAGGTGATGGTGCATTTCTTCATTCTTCACGAAGGATGACACCTCCCCAGCTGCATTTCTTGCCTGTTTTTCTCCCTCCCTCACCTCAAATATTTTCCCACCACTCTGTACTTAGGAAGGAAGAAAGGAAAGAAAGACAGAAGGAGAGGGAGGGTCTGAGGGAAGTCCTGCCTTAGTCCTGCCCTGCTGCCCTTTCACCATCCCCTTACCCCCTCCTCCTGGCCTATCCTGGGGGTCTCTCATCCTATTGCTAAGGAAGCTTTGGATACAAAGCTGGGTCTCCTCCCATGGAGATGGAATGGGCCTCCCTCTGACTTTGCCCCCGTACCCATCATGAGCAACCTGGGTAAGGAGAGCAAGCACAGCAGCAGCAGCAGCCTTGAGGAGGAGGTAAGTGCAGCTGGGCGCCCCCTTGGGGAAGTGGGGCTGGGCTTGGTGTCATAGGTGCTCGAGGGCCAGGCTGGGCATTTGACCTCTGCTGCCCAGGGCTCCGGGCAGCCCGCACCACCATCCAACCCTCCGCATAGCCTGAGAGGAATAGGGAGGCTCCTCCAGTGGGCCTTAGCACTTGTCTTGGTCCCACCCTCTTCTACCAGGACCCACTCCTGCTCAGGCACCCTTGATACGAATGATGTAGAGCTGGCCATACCCACTCAATAGGCCACACCCACTCTGTCCATGCCCACCCAGTAGCCCGCACTCACCCTGGCCATACCCACCCAGCCCCCCAAGGGCAAATGCAATGCTAATGCGGCCCTCAATGAAATTGAGTTTGACACCCCTGCCCTATTCTTTTTGGGGGTATCTTAGATGTTAACAACTCAGGTGATTGGTTGAGGATGCTTCTTCAATGTGAACTAATAATTAAGCAATAATTAGAATGTTCTGGATCTTGAAATGTAGGGAACATACATATTATTTCTGTAGAAAAATTACAGTGTTCCAGTTTGGGGGGGGGAATAGAAATCTAGCCACTATCTGAATGGTTTTGTTGTTGTTGTTGTTGTTCTTTCTCTGAAAATCAGTATTAAACAATTGCTAAGTATAAAAACCAGAGTTCCTACTGTTTTCCCAGTTTTCTTCTTCATGTAAATTCTGGAGGACCCCAGATAAGTATAGAAATGGCCACAAACAAGTCAGAATAGACATAAATAATATGCAAAGCTGAAAATTCGTTCTTTGCTTGCTAATGGATTTGCTTTCAGATTTAATCCTGCATTCCAAAATAAATCAAAGAAAATGTTCCTCACTGGGGTCCTAGATGCATATTAAACAAACAAGCCAACAAAGCCAACTTTCCTCTTTCATTTTTAAGGGCCTTGGGAGAGAATGCCACTTATTTTCTCATACAGGTACATATTTTGTATTATTATTCCAAAGGCCAAAGATGATTCAATAGAATATTGATAATTATCATGAGGCAAAAGCAAGCACAGTAATTATTTCATTTAGACGAAGCCTTTTATTTGAGTACCTGACTATTGCCAACATCCCACTTATGCACCAAATGGCAAAGGAGAGAAAACAAAGGCTCAATACCCCCAATCATTTTCCCTTCTCTGAAGCCCTATGTAAAAACTCAGCATACAAGGCACACTATGGAGGTAAAAATCCCTGATGGTTAAACCACAGCACACTCTGTCTCTCTTGACATCAAGGAGTCCATTAAAATCTGAAAGCTCCAATTAAAGCCTGTTTATTCCTGTTTACATTTGGACTCGATGGAATAATTGGCATCTGTGGGTGAAGAGGCCTCTAAGGGCCCTTCTAATTGCATAAATGCACCCTTGATCATTCTCAATTGGTAGAAGCCAATGACGGAAGCCAAGAGGATTACAAAAAAAACCCATGGTGCCATACCTGCCCATTGCCATTTAGCTTATTGGTAAGTTTCACTTTGCTAAAAGATACTGTGGCCTTCATCCAGTGTGCTCCAAAGTTGGGTGAGTCTGGATGGATATAGACACAGCTGTGGTTGGATGGCTCTGGCTTTCCAGCAGGAACCCATTCTCCATTCACGTACTTCCAGCGGTGGCTATCAGTTGGAGCAAAATCCAGCAGAAAAGAATACATAGCATTTGGATCCAACCCTGAAACACTGATCTTTAAAACTGGAAACATCCGCCTGTATGAGAAACAATTATATGAGAAATTAAGTATTTTTATATTTAGGGAATAATTTGTTTTAATTGCTTGTTTTCTAAATTAACATATTAATGAATTAATGAGTTAAATCTTTTCACTAAGAGAGGCAGCTAACACTCATTCCTCTTCTGTTTTGCATGCATGGTGCTAAGTATGAGGTCTTGCAATCAAGACAGCATGTTCTGTTCCTAAAACAATTGACTAGGGAACCTAGTCATCACAAATATTTGGCTCATTATTTAACAGTCTCTCCAACGAAAACTACATTGAAGGATATGCTACATAATGATAATTGTTCTAAAGGCTGGCTGTTTTGGGTACATTTATTTTTTTCAATCTGTTTGCCAATGGAGAAAGAGGAGAACCAATATTGAAGCACCGAAAGGCTAACTTTTTATTTTCAGGGAGGATGGGAACAAACTTTTTATAGCTGTCCCAAGCAGCACTTTCTGGAAGGGAGGAAGAGAGGACAATTTTAACCGTATTCAGAATATTTAATTGGAGATGTTAACATTTTGGAAAAGGGAAAGTGCAAGCATTTATTTGTTTATATTCTGCTCATGGGAACCCTGTGACTATCTAGATGTTGAAATTAACCATGGTGAGAGTTGTAATGCAACAGCATTGGAGGAGTAAAGAATTATACTTTTCACATTATTTGTGTTTATTGTATATGTGGACCATTTTTCAAGACCTAGTCCAACTATTGTTGATCTCAACTTATTTCAGCTTTCCATTTTTGCAACTACATTTCCAATTACACAGCTCGCTTTCCTTCCCTTCACCTCTTAATGTCTGGAGGACTTCTTCTTTTCCTTCTCCTCTTTCTTCTTCTCTTCCTCTTTCTGCCATGGTTGAGAGTCCTGCCCAACTTACTACATTTTGATCTTATTTATTATCCTTTTATTTATATAATTTACAAAATGATTTTCTTTTTCATTGTATCACTAATATGGGTTTTACCTAAAAATAGAGATAAAAATCAATTCTGTTTGGCATTACTTGCTGTATCACAATATAGGATATCACAATATAGAATAAGACATCCTATTTAAATAGGATGACCTTTTTAGATAGTCAGTGAGAAAAAGAGAAAAAGATAGGGTCATGCTTCCTGGCTCCAGCTTATGAAAGAAAACTCTATGTCTTCAAACTGATTAGTATGGAGAAGAAAGAGGCAGGATAAATATGACCACTGCCAATTCTCTTTTAATTATCCTGCACTAGTAATATTCAAATGGGTTGTTTTGCATTGTTTGGTGCTCCATTATTCACTAAAAGTTGGAGAAAAATCTAGAAATATTTCTGAACAAGTTTAGTTTTATATATATATATATATATATATATATATATATATATATATATATATATATATATATACACACACACACACACACACACACACACACACACACACACACATACACACTTACTTAGAGGAATTGTATTTTCTCTTTTTACTCCAACTAAAACACTTAAATAATACTTAGGAGCAGATTTGGGATGAGGATGAGGAAGATCCAGATTCAAGTCCATCATGAGTCAGGAAAACTCACTGGCTATTTTGGGTCCTGCTGTTTTTCCTAAAGCAATATATTGCACAGAATTGTTATTTTGGGGCAAAATTTTGAAGAGGGCTATGTATGTTGCCTTTTGTTTGCAGAGGAAAAATGTGATATGCCTCTAAGGAATAAAATTAAAAGTACTCGGTCTCAGAAGATTTGAGATCTTTTAGGCCATTTTTCATAGCCTTGTGCTATCTTGAGATTAAATCTTCCATCATATTAATCAGAGATGGTTGACATTGTAGCCTAGCACTTCTAAAGAGCTCCAAGTTGGGAAAGGCTGTCTAGATGTAAATATTATTAAAAAGCAATAGTAATCCAACCCAACTCAACCAAATCAAACGAAACCAAGAAAGAGTTTGAGCCCAGTTACAGTCCACTTAGAAAAGGCCGTAAAACACTGTGAAGTGGTATATAAGTCTAAGTGCTATTGCTAGATGTTTTTATTAAAAAGCAATAGCACTTAGACTTATATACCACTTTACAGTGTTTTACAACCCTCTCTAAGCAGTTTACAGAGTCAGCATATTGCCCCCAAGAATCTGGGTCTTCATTTTACCGACCTCAGAAAAATGGAAGGCTGAGTCAACCTTGAGCTGGTGAGACTGAAACTGCCGAACCTCTGGCAGTCGGTAATCACTGCACCATCACAGCTCTGTATAATATTCTTGGGAAAGCTTGGTTGAACCCAGATGTATTTTATATACTGGCTGAATTAAAACTCCATTTATATATTAAATCTTGATGTAAAAATGCAACCTATTTCAACATCATTCTTTATAATTCTTGGGAAAACATTGTGATGACTTTTGCTACTATACATAGATTAACTTAGTATTCGTAAGCTCATCTTTGCCTTCTTTTTTGCCAATGAGCCAAGTTAGCAAAAGCAATAGTGGTGAATCTGAAAAGAAGTAAAGTTAGAGAAAGAAACCATTGAGCAATAGCACAAGCCAAATTAAAGCTACCCAATTTTATATCCATGGGCTATGAAACAGGGCTTTGAAGTGAAAGTACATGACTTCTGTACTGCTTGAGACCCCCTCTTCTTTTTATCAATTATATTCTCAATACTTGCCCAGGCATAATATTTCATAACTCTTTAGTCAACTGAACTGTTCTTAGAAAAAGAGATTTATCATCTGAGGGAAAAATCTGAATGAATTTTCATTTTATAATCTGTATTAATGTTTAATCCTGTACTTCGGAAGTTGAATGCTTGATTTTGCTGAAATGCAACTGTTAGCAAACCAAGTCAGAATTTTACATAATGAAAATACAACAAGTTACAATTTAGCAACTTGAAGAAATTCTTAGGCCTCCCACACAAGTACACATTATTCTTAGGCATCCTTTGCATAATTGTTATATTCATTTTAGAATCTTTTCGGATATATAACACATTCTATTCAAATTTCCTCTTAAAATGTGACAATACAAAAACATAGCCCTTTACTATATGATCGATCTTGCAGTATATTGTCACAGGATTTTTTTTACATGAATTCCCATTTGTGCATAGCCCTGTCTCCTTCTGCCAACATAAAGACTGCAATAGATCCTCTAAGAAAATATGACCATCAATGGGGAAAAAAAACGACTTGGGAATCGGTAAACTAAGGAATCAAAGACAGCACTGAATTTGGTGATTTAGTATTTATATCTGTTGAAGAAAGATGATCACTGAGAACCAATGAGAGGCAAAACAGAAAACTGTTTCCAGTTTCATACTATCATTACACATCACAGGAGAGAGTTTTTTTCCTTTAGCTGTGACTAGAAAAAAATAAGTTTTTTTTCCTGTGCCATTATTCCTGAAGCTATACAGGCTGCTGGGCTGTTTACATAATAAAAAATATACAAACTGAATTGGTTTATGGATTATGTGCCATTAAGCCACCAACTTCTACTGATCATGTACATAGATTTTCTCCATGATGATACATGTTGAATACATTTCGCCTACATGTGATACTAACTACTAAAACTGAGATCTGTAGATAATGTGTTCTCTCTTATTGTAACTACTAGAAAAGCATAGTTCATGGATTCTTTCAGATAGGGAGCTCCTAGCACTATCTAGCATTTCTCACTAATGACTTATAACATCTTCTAGTCACATACATTCATTCTGACACCAACATGACAGTAATGAGCACTGGCATTGTATTATGTCATCAGTGGTTGACTCTGTTGTGTTTTAAGTCACTATTGGAAAAAATGTACAAAATAGATTGTGACATAGTTTCATATTTTCACTCCAAAGAGTTTTTCTAAGGAAAGAAAAGTGATGGAACAAGTAATGGGGAAGATAGGGTTAGTAGAAAAGTCGATCAAGAGTGAAAGGTCTTCCAGCAGAAATGGCTTGCAAACAGCTCAACAGAACACAATGTTAAGTGTGCTCAGACAAACCATGCACAACCACTTTATCATATATAAATATTGTAAGAACCCATTACAAACTAATCAGAACTTTTCATGATCTGCATTTGTGATGGGTAAAATCATTTTAATTGGTTTATATTATGTCATTTATATATTTATGTTGGTTTTGCATTTTGAAGTTTATAATGCTTGAAGTCTTCTTAAGAGCAAATATGTATTTACCATACACAACACTAATCTCTTACAAGGTGATATGTACAGGAAATTTGTGATGTCCAATGGCATCCTCTCATAAGACACAATCTTTCAGAAAAGAACTTGAACATTTGGTTCAGAAAAAGATAAAGCTTTGCTTCTTTTATTAAGATACCTGCATAGAAAAATATGCTACATCAACATCCATTGGATACACATAAAGGTGAAGATATTTCACTTGCTTCTAAGCTGTCAATAATAGCACCTCTCAACCACTTAATATCCAAAATGGCTCACTATTTATACACAAATATATAAAAATATTCAGGATGCAGTCCGCCAGCAAACTATCCAAGTTCACTTGAAAGAAGTGAAATTATAGTGAGACTATAACCCTGTTCTCATGCAGTTTTTACTTATTTCTACAGATCCTCTCAAGGAGAACATATCCAATGAGCTGTAAATCAGTCACAGTTGCTGTACTATGTAGTGAATTCACTTTACCATTCATTGTAGCAAAAGAGAAGGTTAACACTCACCTGCCATTCTTGGTGACAATCATCTCATTTGTAACTTCTCTGAACCTCTGCCACAGGGCAGAATCTTCCAAGATAACCTGGAGCTGTTTCTCAGTAGGGTCCCCTTTGTCTCTGCCAGCCAGGAGTTCATTTTCCACCACATTGAGCAGCCTGGAGATGGTGCAATCACTGTGTTTCTTACAGCCAAAATCAGTCATGGTGACTCTAATGTCAGAAACTTCTCAGGTTATTTTAAAAAAAAAAAAATGAAAGAGGGAAGCCTTCACAATCCCCTCTGAACCTAAGTCCAAACTAATTAATTAGCCACAATGGAACAAAAGTGCTCACCTCAACCTTTTGCCAGACTTGTTCTTTCCTCCACTACATCCCAACACGATGATGACACCTGCATGTTAAGGTTTTAACATGAACACACAACCATGTCTTAATTACCAACTGTCAGGTGGGAGGCAGTCTGATTAGGCAATTGGCTGCTTCTGAAGACGAATCTTCCATTCAATTTGCTAAGCTTTTATCTTTCTGAGGAGGGTCTAATTATTCTGCTCAAGAACTATATTTCCATTAATGAAAATGATTTAATGTCTCAAATGAAACGATGAATGGAAAGCAAATCTGTACAGATTTACAAAATCAAACTGAAAAGGAAGATACAAATGACACTGAAAAGCAAACTGTGTGATATACAATATTAGCCTTTCTTGAGGCAAGTGTATTTCCTTGTGTTTCATTATATCATTGTCAACAAACTATACTTATACACCGGGAAATAATTCATATGAGCTTCCTATTTGCAGGCTAGATTCCCAAATTCTAGGACAGCAATGACTAATTTATGTACTTTGGGAAATGTAAGAGGTACTATGGACAGTATTTGGTGCAAAGCATATAGGGCATTGCCATATAATAGATCATTATATTGTTTTTTCTGGGTTAGCAGGAATTGTTCCTATGTTTTTAAAAAATGTAAAATCCTTTTTATTAATTAACACTGCAGTTTTCATTTATTTCCCACCTAAAATGGTGAGAAATTTAAGTTTTCGCAAATTTATTCTTTTACTTATTCAGTATATACAGCTGCCACTCACCAAGAGATTCTGGGTTGCTAACAGGGTTAAAGTTATATTAAAAGAAAAATATCATAGTGAGAGCAAAAGAAACTGCTCATAGGCATTGAGGCTTCAACCTCTAAATTATGTGGGTGAAGAAGGGATGATTTGTTTTTTCAAAATTATTCTAATGTTTCTTGTTCACGCCATCGTTCAAAATTGATAATTATTTACTATCTGCTAATAGGCTATCTACCACTGAATATTGACCACTGAATAACTGTAGACTGTGGAATCCTGGGTGCTCTCTGAACTTGGTTGTTTGCCTCCAAACATTTCATAACTTGATTGGGTAACATCATCAAAGCTAGTGAGTGCAGGATTTGCTCCCTTTTTGTATGCGGTATCATGCTTTGCCATGTTGCTAGGGGTATGATTCTCTTAGTCCAAGAAGAAGCCAAGAAACTTGGTTGTTTGCCTGCAGACATTTCATAACTTGACTGGGTAACATCATCAAAGCTAGTGAGTTTCTTCTTGGTCAAGGAGAATCCACACTCCCCAATGCTGGCACGTCAAGTGCTTTCTACATTATTTATTTATTAAATTACTAGGCTGCTCATCTCACTAATACAGCGATTCTGTATAAACAGAGAGCAAATCTCACATTCATTAGAATTGATGATGTTACTTAGTCAGATGATGAAACATCTGCAAACAAATGTTCAGAAAGCACCAAGGACTCTGTAAGATTCACAACATGTGAGGGTAGAGTTAAAGGAGGCATCAGCCTAGAATCCCTATGTAGCCATAAGTGGACTAAGTCCAACAACTTTGGATTCTGTGGACTCCTATTTTATTCCAAGCAAGTATTAACTGTTGGTTGAGAAATTCCTATGCATAGGCTGTTTAGCAATAAATCAGTTTAATTGGACCTTCACATGTGGACCTGGTCTTCTGTACCTGACAGACTACACAGTTCAACTTTTAGCTACATGGATTTCTTCTACTGAATATCTGTACAGAAGGGAATTAACTAAATATCCTGCTTCTGGCTGCTTGCTGTAATAGCAAGAGTGTGAAATATATGAATCTAATCTAGGAGGTGAATATGATAAACTACTTCAAATGAACAGGTGTTAAGGAAAAGGAATTGACAAATCTGTAGGATTAAGAACCTTTGGTTCATAGAGTGAATGCTGTTTTCAAAGTATTTTTATCTACTTCATAGAAACTGTTTCTGTTCCTAAAACTTTAGCCAATGCTCACAAGATGATGTATGGAAATCATGTTCTCCATGTAAGAGAAATAATTTGGTTGATAAATAAGTAGCAGAACCTAACACTGCTCTGATGATTATATCTCAAACTAAGCCAAAAATACTAAGAGAGCCTAAATATTATTATTTTAATGAGTAGGATAACTTGTTTTCTGACGAGGCATCAAATATTGTTACTACTAACTGGATTCACTGCTTCTTCATAAGTTTTGTGGAGGGTAAATTTAGAATCAATATTTACCGAACCTATCTAGAAATAAATTTTCCCAAGAATAGCAATAGATTACTCACAATAGTGATGCTATAATAACATAGGTGTCTTGGAACAATGTGGAAATAGTATTCTACAGTCTTCTTCCAAGATACTTCCTCAACTTCCTGATCAAGCCTACCGACCTCATGTTCCTGATGGTTTTACCATCCAAGTACTAATCAGTTGTAATCCTGCTAAGCTTCTTGAAATCAGCAAAGCTAGGAAGATGCTGCCACTGGTTGGACTCTGGAATATCTGTCATTATTAATGGGATATCTTAAATTAGGCTTATCGACATGATACCTAATAGCTTTTAATTTCTAGAACTCAGTGGATAAAGTATTCCTTAACAACAGAATGAATGAAAGTAAATATTTGGCAAGACTCAAACTTTCCAGATTTTATACAAATGAGTGGATTGATGGTTCATCCAGACTCTGTCAGCTTCTCTGAAATTTATGAAAATAGAATTTTCTATATGCTGTTAACAAGTATTTACCTATACATTATTGCAGTACATAAGCCCTGCTGTCTGTGAATCTCGGCCACCAGAAGTTAATTGCCCCTTTTTCTGAATATGTCTGCTAAAGTAATGAAAAGACTAATCTTTTCTAAATCACTTCAAGTCCAATAATTACTGATGGTGTCAAACCTTGATTAAAGAACACCAGAAAATCTGCAGTCTTTTTGTCCTTTGTAATTATGACTCGGCATTGGATGTCATGGCTAGATAGATATTTAGTTTCCCTAGCTTCTGGAACTGAATGTTCAGGAAAAAGAATCCATTCAAATGGGACAGGAGATGGAAAGAATGAGTTAGTTTCTCATGGATTTCATTTGACCAAGAATTTTCTATTATATTATTATAGTCAGTAGAAAAGTCTGTAGGAAAGTACAGCTATTAAGTATCAGTTAAAGAGGAAACATATCTTTTTTTTCCTGCTATATGTAAACAGCTGTTTGCTTCAAAGAGTTTCAGATTGATTTGTTGATTATTTCTTGTTTCTGCTGAAGCAAGCAAAAAACATTTCCGCAAATGTTTCTCTGCCTCAATCTACTTATAAAACTCCATATATCAAGTTTATGTTCTAACTATATGAATGACAAACAGCTGAACAAATCTAATAGGGGAAAATCCTCTCAAATTAGATCTCTGCTTACATCTTATTAGACCCATAATTTGGATAATTAAGATAGGATATATCCTAGGTACACGCTTATTGCATTCTCATCTTATTATAAGTTACAGAGCACTGCTGCAACCAGATTGGTAAGCAGAATAAACTTTGTTAGCACTTGACAAAACAGCAGAAAATATCAATGCTCCAGACCAGGCATGTCAAACTGCTGGTCCCCAGGCTGGATACGTCACGCCGAAACCATACCACCCCATTGCCGGCAATGGGGAAAAAGTCCCTATACGTCGCGCGACGTCACATGACGTCACGAGTTTGACATGCTTGCTCCAGACTATACTAGAAAATTGAAAAACACCCCAGAATAAGGCAATGGCAAATCACTTCTGTGTGCTTGGGAAAAATAAATAAATTACATATTTATAAAAGGCCCAGAGGTTAGGTTTGATTCTTCAGCATTTCATATAAACTTAATTCACTTTTGCCTAGAATGAACTGAACCTGTGAACATCAAAAGTAGAATTTTTGTATTCAAAGTGTAAACTATTAAGAGACCTATTTGTTTAGAGCATATTCATTTCTTTTCTTCCTTTCAACTGTCTACAATTCTCAAAGTCTGCCTGGAAAAGTCTCTTCAGTTTTTTGGCAAGTTTTTTTAGAAGTGATTTGCCATTGCCTCCTTCCTAGAACTGATAGAAAGTGAGGAGCCAAGGTCACTCAGTTGGTTTCATGTCAAAGACAGGACTAGAACTCACAGTCTTTCAGTTTGTACTCTGATGCCTTAACCATTATGCCAAATTGGCTCTTGCATGGAGTATTAATTATATAGAAGCAGAGCTGAAAGAGCTTCAGGTTAAATATTTAAAAAAATAAAAAAAAATAAAAGCCACACATTTTAAATATAGGTCACAGGTTTTTAAAAATTATTACTGGTAGTTAAGTTGACAGATTTTGAGGTTGTCAATAAGGTAAAATATTTGGGGGTTATTTTATCTGTTTCTAATGCAAAATTGTATAAAAATAATTATGAAAGGCTGTGGGTCAAAATACAAAGAGATTTGGAAAATTGGGAGAAGCTGCAATTATCTCTTTTGGGAAGAATTGTGGCGATTAAAATGAATGTTCTGCCAAAGTTTCTTTTTTATTTCAAATGATACCCATTTTAAAGAATGAGGTTAATTTAAATGAATGGCAGAAAGGTATCAATAAATTTATCTGGGCAGGGAAAAAACCAAGAGTAAAACTTAAAATTATACAAGATATTCGTGAGAGAGGTGGACTCAAGGTACCGAATTTGAAATTGTATTATGATGCTGTGGCTTTAACATTAATTAGTGATTGGGTTAATTTAACAAATGTAGAAATACTCCTCTTGGAGGGTTGGGATTTACTTTTTGGATGGCATGCCTATTTAATTTTTAATAAAAAGGTTGATATGGTTTTTAAATTTCATATTATAAGGATTTCTTTACTTCGGGTTTGGAAGAAATATTACAGAAGTGATTTTAAAATTCCACTATGGGCCATACCGTGGCATGCGATAGAAGGGATAAGGAGAGGAGTCAAGATGGATAGCGTTTCTTATGCACAATTACTTAGATGGGATGGTAAAAACTGGCAATTAAAATCTTTGGAAGATTTAACACAAGAAAATATTATTTATTCATGGTTTCATTATAGACATATAGTGGAGAGGTGGAAGATAGATCACAATGTGGGTTTGCTTAGAGAAGATGAGAATTTGTTAAAACAAATAAAAGATCAAAGACGAACTCATATTAAGAGAATTTATGGGGTGTTAGTAGAACTGGATTCAGAAGCAGAATTAGTTAAAGAATGTATGGTTAAATGGGCACAAAATTTTGATGAACCGGTTCTATTTGATACCTGGGAAATTATTTGGGTGAGGAATGTTAAATTTACACAAGCCCAAAATTTAAGGGAAAATTTTTATAAAATGTTTTATAGATGGCACCTTAATCCACAAAAAATGTCTCGTATGTATCCTGACTTGCAGCCTAAATGTTGGAGATGTGGATGTTTGGATGCTACTTATTATCATATCTGGTGGTCATGTAAAAATATAAAAGCTTTTTGGATTAAGATATGGTGGAATATCCAAAGAATTTTTAGAAAAAGGGTAAAATTTACCCCACAATTGTTTTGGTTAGGTATTGTTTCTGATTGTGATAGTAAAGAGACTATATTGATGTTAAATTTAATTACAGCGGCCAGGTTGTTAGTAGGGCAATGTTGGAAGAAGGAATCTTCGCCTACTTTGCAAGAGTGGTTTCTTAAAGTTTCTTATTTGGCGGAAATGGCAAAGATTTCGGCTTTTTTGAAAGATCAATCGCAAGAGAAGTACTTTCTGGTATGGAAAAAATGGATAGATTTCATACAATATAAGTTGGATATAAAAAAATACTATTTAGTTTTTGAATAATTTATATTTAAAATTTAAGATATTTTATAGACATTTCTTTTTAATTTTCTTTCTATTTTTCTTATTTTATTTCTTCTTTTTCTGTTTCTTTTTTCCTTCCTTCTGGTAATTTTTTTATATATATATATTGCTAACTATTTTATAATTTGTTTAATTAATGTATTTAGATTTGCTTATGGTTTATATGTGTTTTAAGATTTTTTTAAATTTTTTTTAATTAAGCCTGTATTCAACTCTGGGAAGGTGGGGGGAGGGTAGGGGAGGATTGGGAGGGTTCGGGGAAGGGAATTGTTTTGTAAAACTTAAAAATTTTTAATAATAAAAAAAAATTATTACTGGTAGTTAACACATATCTGTATTAAGCATTAAGTATGTAGAAATTAAATTATCTTCACAGAAACATTATTCTTTACTGACAAATTTGCATTATAACCAACAACTATTGTCCAATTATTTTCAGTTCAATTTTATATAGCAACAACTTAGATTTCAGTTTAATTCACCATTTAATTCCTTCATCTGTACTTATTTTATGTGACCAAAACTAATAAAGTTGATTTGAAATATTGTTAAAACTATTAAGTTTTATTTTGAAAAGGTTTTAACTAAAGCGTTAACACTGTATCAATATCTATTATACTTGTACATATTTTTTAATATAATCAAAATCCAGACAGTTTAATAGATCTATTTTCCCACATAATCATCTTTATGAACCAGGAATTTCAGGATAATTTCAACTATTCACATTCCAACTCATAAACATGAAAACCAACATGAGGCTGGAGCTGATCTGGTAAACACATGTAATCAATAAGCAGAATTTTTGACAAGTTTCTCTTTCCTCTAAAGACAAAATAAGAATATTTATAAAATATATTCCTATTTCCAAGAGATTCTAAAACATTTGTTTACCTCAATTTTCACAATAGCAAGATTGTATCCTATGTTATTAAATAAAACACCAAAATGTACAGTGATGCCAATAATTTTGTTCTTTTGTTGTTTTACTATTTACTTTTTTCCTTGCTTCTAGAGTCTACAAAATTTCATTTCCTAGCTTCAAATTCAAGAGAGAAATTCAAAGCTTCAGCTTCAAAATAGTTGAATTCAAAGAATGTTTGTAATCTCTATTACAGCATATTGACAACAGTAATGTGTTCTCAGAAGATATAGCTTCAATAACAAGTTTCACAACTCTGAACTTTTCAGCAGAGTTGACTTTATTAAAAACACAATACACACATGCATTGTGAAAACATTTTTATTACAGAAGATATAGTATTGAAAAAGAGTTCCTTTCAAAAGATATTGTCTCCTAAGGAAAACAAAACTTCCAGCCCACAGCAAGGGTTACAAAAGCCAGTGTACAAAAATGGAATGTTTTTTTCAAACAAAAGAATCAATAGCTTATTACGAGGGTTCTGCAAAGCATTCAACCGAGATGCGTTATTTCTGCTGTTACACAAAGAAGAACCTGTCTTTGGGTCATTAAAGTAGCTGTATCTTTCACAAGCCTTATATGACTGCTTCAAGCCAAAGAGTTTGAGCAAAGCTTAAAGACAGAACTTCAAAACCTGTTTTAATAATTTGAAGAGGGGTGATTCATTTGCACTCCTCTGCAGTCTGTGTACTCTTCAAAATTATCCCTTTTGAACATTTTGTACAACTCTAATTATTATGGAAATCGCTGCTAGCATGATTGGGTCGTGCTACAGAGGTAGGCACTTTACCTCCAATGCAGCCTCAAATAGACCACGTTACTCATATTTAGTGGTGGAAATATTTTAGATCATGTAACTAGCATACCTGCAATTAAGATAGAGTTTGTCATAAGAGTACAGTAACAAACTTAACAAACTGACAATATAAAGGGGTGGGAAAAATTACAAAAATTATTCTTATTCTTTGTTCGCTACATCATAAAGGCTGAACATTGGCTCAGAGAAAAAGTAACTGAAAATGTAGGCCATATAACCATACCAAGAAAGTAGTGTCTTGCTCCCTTAATACAGATTTAGCATTTTATTTTTCAGGGAAAAGCAATAACTCAGATATAATATTCTTATAAGATGTTCAATGTCTTTAATATTACATTAAGCCTATTTAAAAATATACCTAACAAGAATTCAGTGCCTAAAATTGGAAGTTACTCAAATTGAATTTGCTATTGGACTAATTAATATTGGATATGTACCATAATAATTTAAGAAACAAAATAGAGAATTTTGTGTTTCTTTGTCTTAAAATACAAGATATTACTATTGGCCTAGCAAGTTCACATTCTGTAAGCAAGGACATTATTGCAACTAGAATTTGTGAGAATTATCTTAGTCTCTCCCCAAAATAAACCTCCTACTTTTATACATATTGTACAAAATAGTACAAAAGGGCTTAAAGGGTTTTGTTTCTCATTTGCTACCAATCTTAAGCAGCGTTTCCCAATTTGGTGACTCCATGAAGACTTCATGCTGATTAGAAAGTTAGGGGATTTTGTTTCAACTTGCACACCATCAAGTTGGGGAAGGCTAACATGAAGCAGCAAGATGTAAAGGCATAAAATGATAGCTGTATGACTTAGTGGCATCCAATCCAGCAGTTGGTATAAAGTTATGAATTCCTTAATGTGGATGTCTGCATTTTCCAGCATTTCTATTACCACCCTTCTGTTACTCTAAATAAATATACATAAGACACATTGCACATCAGTAGCAGCAAAACATGTTACGTTAAACTCAATTCACTGAAGATATTAACAAGAAAAATGATAAGATGATCTCAGCTGGTATTCAAAAGAATGAATTTACATAGTTAGGAAGTCCCAGGGGAGGGGGGGGAAATCAAGCAAGCTTCACCAAATCCCTTAGGTTTATACAATAATTTCTCACCACTTTATATTCAAGTGACCCTAAAAACCCACACAGAATATATGAAGCTTACAGTTACCCGGTTCCACCACTATTTACCTCTGAAACAAGTAAGAGACTTACCATACTTTTCGGCGTATAAGACGACTTTCGCAAGTCGGGGGTCGTCTTATACGCCGAGTCGTCTTATACGCCGGAAATAACGGTAGTTTCCGGCGTATAAGATGACTTTCTAGGCATGCGACTCGGCACCGAAGTCAGGGGTCATCTTACACACTGGGTCGCCTTATACGCCGGAATATGCGGTATATCTTTTAGAACAGTGTTTCTCAACCTTGACAATTTTAAGGCACATGGACTTCAACTCCCAGAATTCCACAGCCAGCAATGCTGGCTGTTTTAGAATATTGTCCTCAACCTTTTTCAAAGCTGCAGTAATGCATCAGGAATAGGCACTATCAAGTGAAATTCTGACTTTTATATTTCAGGAGTCCCCTTGTCTACTGTAAGAGAGAGTTTGCAGTTACCACTATCACTAATAACTACACACTGATTCACTATAAAAAACATATTAAATGTATATACTTAAATATCTATAGAAGATATTCAAAAAATTTTAATATACAGATCTGTACAGTTTTATATTGTAAGGTAATAATTTAAATGCTCACACAAAAAGCAGATGAAGGAAAGAAACATATGTATTCATTTCTTAAAACTGAGGCCTTGTAGACCTAATTTTAATACATTACTTAGAATTGTTTTACCTGAATTCATTTACAATCAGTGTACACAATTTTGTGCTTCATTCATAATGAGAGTTGTAATTAAGTGAATTATTTTACAAATATCAAACTTACAAATCTATAAATATGCTTGGTTTTGGTAAGCAGCACAATACAATTAACTTTCCAAGATCTCTGGAATAAAACAACCAACAACATTTATCAAAGAATATTAAACTAGTTAGACAGATACAAATATTGGTTCCACTGTGTACAAAATCAGAGTTAATGTGGCTACTCCTCACTGGGAAATTTCTGTGCTCTTATATCCTGTATTAGTCTCTTTCAAAAGACGAAAGAGATCAGAAAAGGCAGTATAATGAATGTAGATTGTATATAATTTTTCTTTTGGCAATAAATGCTTACAGTTCATGAACTCCACCAAAGGCAAAATTGTTGGATTTTTTTTAAATAAGCATAGCATAGCATCAAGATAAAACAACTGCAAAAACTCTCAAGTAATTCTTAACATGTACACACACTTTTACTTTATGAGAGATAACCAAGGAATATGCCAATGCATAAAGGAGAAAAAAGGAATGCAGCAAAAATTGTCAATATGCTAGCATCCGGCAGTATAAATAATCTCAGTATACTATCCTATGGGGAAATCAAAGCAGGAAACATAATATGATCCTCTTTCATGACGAACCACAGTGATAAATTATGCAACCAAACAAAATATTGAAAGAAAAGACAGGATGAGAAAAAAAGGCACTCAAAATCTAAGATGTTTGTCTCTCCAGTTAGATTATGGTACACTTTTGAATTGTACAAAATGAGTTGTACATGTAGAGTTGACCAACATGAAAATGAAAATGAGGGAGCCACTACAGTGGCATCAAGGAGAGGATTTTTTTTCAAAATGTAAGTCAGCAATAAAGGCAGAAGTCTAGATTTTATTTCAAGGCCACATGTATAAAAGTCCATAAATAGAAATGCTTGCAGAAATCATCTTATCTATCGTTATGACTCCTATTTTTCTCCAATTACTGATTTTCTTTCTAAACAGACACTAATTCATACAATTTAAAGTAAAGAATTATACTTGCTATCCTGTTAGACAACAAATTAATTCCAGTAACTTCCCTCATACAATTTGCAATCATGATTTTTAGAAGGTAAGGAGACATTTAGAAATGGTCTTTTGATAGCAAGTAAAAGTATGTTATGGAGAAAAATTCACTACCTGCTTAGCTAATGTTTTCCAAAATGTAATCTGTCCTTTGAACTTTTTGATAGAAATTGGTTGATAGAAAGTAGTAAAATCTCATCCGATCCCTTTCACAATTAGAATATCCATTTTACTTCTGAAATAAAATCACCTGAAGAAAAAAATTTTGTGGCATACATTAAGTATTAGTTTTGCAAGTGAAGATGAGACATAATTTATCTTGAAATTTTCATAAAATGTGTTATCTTCAGGGGGATATATAGTAGCTTTGTCTTCTGATTCACGTTAACTTAACACCTTAATGCTTTGTTCTTAGGCAGGTGTGTGCTGTTTTAAGAATCATTTGGTTGTGCAGGTGTTGTAGTCTTCAATGTAAAAAGATAGCCAACTTAGCCTGCAAAAGTAGCCAAATCAAAAGTTTTATAAGCAATTTCTCCATTAATTATCTGATTTATCTTTTGAGAGGCAAAAAACTGTTTTTCTAAAAAGTTTCAAACAGGAATGCACTGTTGGTAATAGAATATATTAACTGCAGTAACAGAAGGCATTCTTTTTGGGAATAAACAGTAATGCATACTCCTCTTTAAAAAAAATTGTATCCCTCTAACAATCTGTTTTTTAGTTTGCAATTCAGCTGCTGATACATGTCTTCAGACTGGAACACACATGAAGAAAAGCTTTTGAAAATAAAACAAAGTTTGCTAACTAGAAAGATCATAGTTTTTTCTGCCCATCATGATATGAGTGTAAAATATCCACATCATATCTGCAATTGCTTATTCCATAGATTTAATTGAGGAAAATGGGAACATTTAGATAGGTATAATATACTTAAAACTGCCTTATTTTATATAGAGATTAATTAAAGGGATCTACACCTTAATAAACTTGTTTTACTTTAGGATATCATTTTAATCCTCATAGTGAGTTGGGGACTGTTTCCAAATTATTATTTTTTTAAATTTTTAAATATATTTAAATATATCCTCAAAAATATATCTAACAAACAAAATGGAGGATGCACCCTTTTAATTCCTGTCTTTTGGACATTACCAGAGTCAAATCCAGCTCCTCTTTGCCTAATACCCTCAGACCTAAACTGACCTTCCCTGGCCCCAAAGCTCCCACCTAAAACATAGGACAGAAACCTCCTTGCCAGGTAACAGTACAGCCCAAGGGCAGTCGTAATAAAGGAAATATAACATAGTAAGAAACTGAAACACCCCAACCTTCCATCTGCTTATTAGCTGATGACTTCAACATTCCATCTCCTTTACAATGGACTTCCCCAACTCTGCTGCACTCTGGAAAGTACCACTTTGCCTAATAGAACATTGATGAGGACTTGCCCATCTTCCCCAACCTGGCCAGTAAATCAGATTCCTAAGCTATTAAAATATACATCATTTCTTCTCAGTGTTGTATTCTGTACTTCTGAATTTTCCATAACATTTTCAAACTACCTCAAAAATGCTGCATGGAATGTCAAAACATTTTTCTCTCTCCAAGGCCCTTCCAAATGTTTGTAGAGACCTTTTCTTTGCTATAAGTTAAGATGGCCATGGCTGAAAATAAGGATATAACCATTTTACTCTAACCTACCAGCCACTGTATTTTCTGGAAGTTATTAGGTTGTTTGCTTACCTGTTATGTGAGGCACGCAGCAAAACATTTTTTCACAGCATCCCTATGGAAAGAAATGCTGATGAAGCTAAGGGTGACTAGATTTACACAACACCAGTATATTTAGGTACACTTCATTAACAAAACTACAACTGACAGGGTTTTCCTAAGCCCAAATACAATGATCCATATTATGACTTAAGGTGGTATATGAACCTAGGAGCTGCCTTATTTAAATCAACCACACTAAACAAACTCCCTCTATATTTCCTTTTAATCCTATCTCAAAACTCCTATCCCCCATGAAATCCTGACAAACAGTAGTCTTGATATTTATTACACAGAAAGTCCTCAGTATCATAACTCTATATTTGCCAATCCTTTTCTTTCCAAACTAGTTAGAACTGTCCAGTGCTAATCTCTGAATTAATCACATACCTATAAGTCTCCATGTTCTTTCCCTTCTTCATCTTTCTTTGTCATAATATAGATTAAAACTTTTCAGCATTCACTTGTAAAGCAACTCTCTATACTGATGGTAGTATTTCACTAAAACTGCTAGGAAGTATATATTTTTTATAATTCTTGGATTTCTGGCACACAGAACAGCATTTCATTAAGGTTATTTTGATTTTCCAACCCTACAAATTACAGAAGAAATGTGTTTGTTCCATGAACAAATGTGGGCAATCAACATTACCTTGCAAATGGTATGTAGGAAATACTGTACCTAGAAAAGAAATAGCACAAATTCCTTCATTAGCAAGTACCAAAAAAAAAAAAAAATCACCATCCCCTCACAATCCAACATTGTTAACAGTCTATATTACACTTGACAGAATGCAACTGCTGGGCAGCAGATATATACTGCAGTGTGCCAAGTTATGCCATGCTGGAATATACTAAGACTGAGCATTATTTTGATTTTAAAATCAATTTATATATGGCTGACTTCTAGGGTAGCAATGACTAATCTCAGGGACAGGAGAATTAAGTTCCAGGGAATAAGGGCAACAGAACTTTCTCTGTGACACTTTGACCATAGCTGATCAAGGAAATAAATGCTGTGCATTGAAGAAATGAACTTTGTCAGAACATTTGTAATATCATATTTCACTGCAAGTGGAAAGATATGTAAACAGAAATGTAAGTACTATATGCCCACAACTATGTCTCCCTATAGATTTTCATTCTATACAGATGATGTGAATTTTTCATTATATTGGATGAAGAGAGTTAGTGGGAAAGAGAAACTATGTCAAGAAGTAATTCATCTCCATTCACATAAAATTTGACAATGGAACTAGTGGCCTATTTTATTAGATAATCAAAGAAGATCCGGGGAATCAATGTGACTGGAATTAAACATAGATTGCTGTTATATACTTGGTTCAACATTGCTAAATTAGTAGGTTATTCAACCAAATAAGTAATATGTTTTCATTCAGATTCAGATTATTTTAGGAAATCCGTAAGAATGGATTTATTGTTCATATGTTCTTAAATACCTTCAAGTAATAATTCTAGAAAAAACTGCTTTGGTGAGCTGAACATTATAAATGTTTGAGCATATTTGTATGGATGGCTGCATACCCTGATGACTTTACAGAAAATAAAAATATTAAAATCAATGCATCTAAATTGATTTTCATACATGCATATGCAAGTGTATAAAATCCAATATCAATTCATCTTCAATATTTTAAGAAACTTAATAAGCAATTGAGAAAGTTTTTATGGGATTAGCAGACTGTTTTCTTTAACTAAATTACCATCTTCACATGAAAAAGGAAATTTTAATCTGGATTTTCAATGATATCATTGAAAATCTTTTTGGTATTCAAGTGATTTTTTTTTTAAAAAAGTATGAGTATAACTGAAAAATTATTTGACCCTCATAATATCTCGGTTGGAGTCTGATTTCTCTTTTAGCTGATACTGATTTGTTTTTATCTTATCAGTCTACTAAGCATATTTGGAGCATTTAGGATAGAAGCCTAATTCTGAGTCCTGTTTACAAGAAAAACTCATACTTTAAATAAGTGTAACTTAAAGATTACAATAGATTTTTTTAAAGAGCCAGGGCGCAAATGAGTTTAGTACCTTAAACTAACTTATTGTCCTGTTCACTATTGCAAGAAAAATTTGGAAATGGCTAATATATTCATTTGAAACCTGCTTTACTATTCAATTTGGCCCTGTTCAGCTTCTGAATCCCACAAACTTATTTGTTTTACAGAAAATACATTGAAGATTTTAAATTAATAAACTATGAACTAATCCATGTGGGGGGGGGTTTTGCAAGATTTTGGAAGTGTCCTTTTCCTAGGATCGTGAAGAGTGACAGAGAGAGAGATTGGCCTAGGTGCCCAGCTGGTTTTGTACCTAAGGCTGGATTATCTCCTAGTTTCTAACCTGTTGCCTTTAAATATTACTCCAAATTGACTTGTTAATAAAACTTTAGAAGTAAGATTCATATGCCAGGAATAACCAGGAGTTCAAATGTGGAATGAGTCAAATATCATCAGGTAAGATAAAATGTTCATGCAATCCTGCATATCACTGCCTTTGCATTATATGCAAATGTGGGCATGGTTTCTCATGTGAAATCCAATAAAAACAGGTGCTTAGGGCAATGCCTTCAAAATTCCTAGGGGATGAGGAAAAAATATCTTGTTTTCATTATGGTATACTTTATGTGAAAAGGATTCAAGGTCTATGGAGATACAAGAAAGGCTTTTGTTCCTAAATGCACAAGAACTTCCAATTATTGCCAAAGATCTATGTACACTGGAAAAATGAGGTGATACATACCATGCCAAGGCAAAGAATTGTAAAATGCAAAAGAGGATAGTAAGCCCTTTATTATGCCACTGAAAAGAAAAAGATAATTACAACTTAAACAACAATTATTTACAAATAATTTTATCAAGGCATATCAGTCACATTGTAAATCTGATTACTTACCCAGAAAGCTGCACACAGAGTTAATATGAGGCATAGCTAAAAAAAAAAAATACAGAAAGAAAGTCTTTGAATAAGAAATGCTATCTAATTAAATAGCTAGAAATAAAATACTAGACTAAATATATTTAATTTATTTAAGGAAGCGTATAAGATTGCTTTAATAGTAATAGTTAATCTTGAAATAAATAATTAAAAAGCAGATGTGTTCGTAATTTAATGAAGTTTAATGAAGAGAAGGACAAGGGAGGACATGATAGCAGTGTTCCAATATCTCAGGAGTTGCCACAAACAGAAGGGAATCAAGCTATTCCCCAAAGCACCTGAAGGCAGGACAAGAAGCAATGGATGGAAACTAACCAAAGATAGAACTAAAAAGAAATTTCCTGGCAGAACAATTAATCAGTGGAACAACCTGCCTCCAGAAGTGGTAAATGTTCCAACACTGGAAGTTTTTAAGAAGAGACTGGACAGCCATTTGTCTGAATTGGTATAGCGTTGCCTGCCTGAGCAGGGGGTTGGACTAGATGACTTCCAAGGTCCCTTCCAACTTTTTTATTATTATTATTATTATTAGTAGTAGTAGTAGTAGTAGTAGTAGTAGTAGTAGTAGTAATTGCTTTTTATCCCCATACAACATAAAAATTTCTGGTTCAGGCCAAATCTAAGTCTTCTTTTTTGCAAATATGTATTTTCTAAGTTCTAAATTAATTAGGAATTATACCTATGCAATATACTGATAGAAGATATCATAGAAATAAGGTCAAAATATTGGGTAAAATAGTTCAGCACGTTTTCCTGAAAGACTAAAATCCTTGCAGCAATACTACAGAGATCCACTTACAATAACATTAAAAAGTAAGCAACATCCTAAAACCTCCCATTTGCCATCATAGCAAAGCAAAACAATTCCTACATCCCAATTTTCTATTATGATTCATCTTTATTGTGTGTATATTTAAAGGTAAAAATAATGAAGCAAACAGGGGATTTGCAAATATGTACCAAAACATTACAGAATTACAAAATAACAGAGTTGGAACAGATCCTGGAGTCCAACCCTTTACTCAGGCAAGAAACCCTACACCATTTCAGACAAATGGTTATCCAGTCTCGTCTTGGAGCATTCACAACTTCTGGAGGCAAGTTGTTCCACTGATTAATTATTCTAACTATCAGGAAATTTCTCCTTGGTTCTAGTTTCCATCCGTTGCTTCTTGTCCTGCCTTCAGGTCATTTGGAGAATAGGTTGACCCCCACTTCTTGTGGCAACCCCTTACATATTGGAACATTTCCATCATGTCAACCCTAGTTCTTTTTTTTATTAAACTAGACATACCCAATTCCAGCAACCGTTCTTTATATGATCAGTCCCCTGATCATCTTTACTGCTCTTCTCTGCACTCTTTCTAGAGTCTCAACATCTTTTTTATATTGTGACAACCAAAACTGGATGCAATATTCCACGTGTGGTCTTACCAAGGCATTATAAAGTAGTATTAACACTTCACATGATCTTGATTCGATCCCTCTGTTAATGCAGCCTAGAACTGCATTGGCTTTTTTGGCAGCTACTGCACACTAAAACATAGATGGTTACTCTTTAACTCTCTTTAAATCTGTAGAGTAGGGGTGTCAAACTGCTGGCCCGCGGGCTGGATGCATCATAACGAAACTGCGCCCACTCCATTGCCAGCAATGGAAAAAAAGACACAATACATCGCGACACATCACGTGACGTTGCGAGTTTGATACCCCTGCTGTAGAGAATGTGTAATGTTCGCTATGTCATTTATGAATTATTTTTAATGCTATATAGTTTTTGATGTATGTTACTCAGAGTCACATCGTTTGAATTGAGGGGTCATATAAATGTTTGTAATAAAATATATATTCCTCTTCATTCCAGGGTTCTAAAGTGTATTGATATAGTTGTTCTTCAGGTAAAAGATTTGATGCTGCCACCACCACCTGTTCTTGGAATAACTTTTCATCTGAAATCTAGGTAGAACTCAAAGGAGATTGCTTTCCCCAAATTCAGCTTCTAAATAAAATATCCCAATTGTTCTTAATAATTGGATTACCGTGGTTTGTAGTGTATCTTGTATCTAAATCTTGTATAATTCTTCCCAACAAAAAAGCAAGTTCCTATATTAAGCTTCACTTATTATAAAGCCCTTAAAAACCACAGAAATTACAGAATTACAATAATCTATGTCCATTTATGGTTATGAGCAAAAGTAATTTTTAAAAAGCAAAATAGTATTTCTAGCAGAACTACCTGATTCTGTAACAGGTTTGTTCCCTATGCCATCCATCTGGTAAACTTGCAAGATTCGTTTTTCTCCCCATATACATGTATACATAATCCGACTGTGTTGTTTCTCTATGTCATATAATATATGTAAGTATATGCATAATTCTGTATTTATTTTTGTCATATTTATGTAGTGTATATTGGAGATGGTGACCCTTTGAGAGCTGTATGCAATGAAATTTCATTTTAATGTATGCCAATTAGCGTACATTCAAAGTGACAAAGTTCTATTCTGTTCTATTCTATTCTATTTATCTAAACTTCTTTAAAAGAAGGCGGGAGAACTTTTTTGGCAAAGAGATGAACTTTAAAAAAAATCAGTCTCTAAGAACTATGGTGCTGGCATCATAGGGTGATGAGACTAACTTTCTGTCATTTTAAGAAAAAGATATGCCAGATATATAAATCTCCTGAAGACTGAATACTACAATTTTATTTTTTTCTGCAAAAGCTCTTCTTTTTTAATTTCTAATTTCTGAAGTGCAATTGGAAATGGAAGTCTTAAAAAACCAGAAAAAAGTAGCTTTGAAGCCATGCATACCCCTCCATACAAACAATATTGAACTCTGAACATTCTCATTAGTCATTAAGAAACCAAAAGGAGAAATTACTTACAAGCATAACAATTGTAGCTATCAAACGAGTCAGTTCAAACATTCTTTTTAATTGTTTCATTGGTCCCATAAGAAACATGGTACTGCAGAAGAAAAAGATTAACATAACCTTCATCAGATATACAGAATAAAAATATTTTGACTTAATCACAAAGCAGCAGAAACTAACAGAGATAAGTATTTCAAGAATTACTAATGCTAATCTCATTGACACATTTGAAAGTCTTTTATCATCTACAAGTTCAAAATAAGAATAATTTACCTTCCAATGGAGGAGATATTTCCCAAGGTATAAAATACTCCAAACAAGATAGGTCCTTTCTTGGGAACCATTAGTAAAAATGAACCCTGAAAAAGAGAAAAAGAAATAAGGAGTCTGTAACAAAATGTATGTATTATCCTGCAGATAAAAGTATATGGAGCTATTAAATTCAGATTCTCTTATTAATTCACAGAGTCTATTTGTAAAAGCACCAAGTATTCAACTTAAGACAACATTACTATGTATAATGCATAGTCCTGTTTTCAGAGCGAGCAATTATCATATAAAACAACAAACTCAAACTTCTTGAATGTTAACCCTTACTTAGCCAAAATAGCATTATCCATGTACAAGTGGGCGGAGAAGGAACTCAGCCTAGTGAGTTTTGAGTACGCCCTATGGACACAGAAGATGCCCTAATCAGCAATCACAAACAGGGAGGAAATGGATAATAGTCTCTAGAACAGCGGTTCTCAACCTATGGGTCGCGACCCCATTTGGGGTCGATCGACCATTTCTCGGGGGTCGCCAAACAAGGCGATCCGCCATTTTTCCCCCTCAGGGGGCGGCACCGTGCATGGGGGTCGCCGTCACACAAACGTTGAGAACCACTGCTCTAGAAGGCTGAAGAGAAATATTCTGCAGGCAGCCTTTGTTGCATGCCTAATTCCAGGGCAGTGAAAATAAAGACTTATAATATTCAGTAAGGAAGCTCTGACTATCTTATATGGTGAATTGTAGGATTAGAATGTAGGAAATAGTAAAAAGCAAGTGAAAAGAATGAAAAAAGATGATTGCCATTAAAACTAAGAAAAAACATCAAGGATATATTTTATGTGGTCTGCTTTTGTAGAGCGGAACTCATGAATACATGCATAGAAGCTAGGGTGTAGGTTGAATTAATGAAAAAGCTAAAAGTTATAGGTGTGTGTGTGTGTGTGTGTGTGTGTGTGTGTGTCTGTGTCTATGTTATCTGATCCCTTATTTTTCCCTTTTGTCAGATTAAACTGATTTCACAGCAACCTTTGGATGAATTCTTAATTTAGGAGATTGCAAGTAGTCCTAAACTTGAAAATTATGCTATTATGAGTTAAATTATAAAAGTTGAAAATATATGAATTCTTATATCTCAATGCACAGGCATAGGTTTGTACCTTTTTAACTAATATAACATTATTTGGGGAATAAATCAAAATGCATTCAGCCAAATCACATGTATTACTTCAGGTAGAGTATATCCATGTACATTAACAAGCAGTTGAAAGTAAGTGTCAGCATCACTATTTTGCACTGCAACTGATAGTGTCCCAAAAGAGCAGAATTTTATGATAAGAATAGAAGAAATTAAAGTCTTACCAGAATAGAACACACAACTCCTATTATAAAACAAGCTATGAAGGCTTTCAGTCTGGTACTCCAGCTTAAGGTAGTTGCATCAGCTATCTGGAAATATTAAAAGGTAAAATAAGGATGCTGACAAATCGATTCAGTTCTTGATGAATGCATCTATGAAGCTTTCTTGGCAGTGTTATGCAGAGTTTTGCCACTATTTTCTTTCAGGATTGTTTTTCCATTTCCCAGTTTAGTCAACAGTGCCCAGTCCTCCTATGCATTAACAAGCTACCTGCTTAATAAGTTTTTGGAGTTTCTATTTTTTAATTGAAAAATAAAATATCTTCCACAAAGAGCCATGGGGAAAACAGGAGGCAGCAGTGTACACCACTTTGATTTGTACAAATATATTGGGGATATACATCTAATAATACAGTAAATAATAAATAAATGTACAGTATTGTGAAGTAGTCTAAAGTAAGGATGTTATGTTTTTTTTAAATGCTAATCATTTCTAATTCCTGGCATGAAAAGATCTGTGGCCCTTCAGATAAGACTGCCCAAAGCCATCTACTATGCTTCCAAAGCTGAAGGCTCACTTAAATCTGGGTTTTCCAGATGCCAGTCAAACTGGTTAATCAGTGCTGGCTTTAATTTTTGAACAACTCCCCTGAGTAATCAAACCACAAATTTAGCCATAACTTTTATAACCAATTTAAGTTGCAAAGCCTTTTGTTGTTTGTTCCTATCTGCTTGTGCTTTGCAAATAGCTCAGAGAGATTTGCTTGTTACTGGTACAATCTTTTCATAATTTCTTCCCCTGAGATCCTATCCTGTTTTCACTGCTTCAGATATCTCTTTGGTATACCAGAAACATACTAAAATTTGATAAAAATTAAAAACTCATTTTAAGTCTCTGGCCATATCATCTATCAAAATGGGACTTTGCCCCTTTTCAGTGCCTATGAAACTATAGAGACATTCATTTTACCAAAATAAAGTACCAAAGGAAAAATGGCAAGTAAATACTCAAGCACCGACAGAACTGTATGCATATATGACTCACCCATGTTTACCCTAATCACGATTCATTCACATAACCCAATTTTCTGGATTAGTACCATAAACTAACCAAAGGAACTGTGTACTCTGCATTCTAGGCTAAAAGGTGACTATTAATGGTTCAAATAGATCCAGCTAATACAGCCATAATGTGTGGGAGAGAGCACAGTGCCTTTATTCAAAATTAGGATTATCACACTAAGTTAAAAGCACAAGAACTTTGCAAAATGAGGGGAATGACAACGGTTAATAAGTTTTAAATTACAACTTTCACCAATTTCAACCAGAATGACTACAGTCGCTGGAGTAATGTAAATTGTATATACTGCCAGCCTAGTTGGAAAAGCTGGCTAAATGGTCAGTATTAACAAGCAAGAAACAGACTCCAAAACATCTCGGGGAAAAGAAAAGAAGGACGGGGATGGACAGAAAGAGCTCACTTGGGAGACATGGAGCACTGGCGATGGACAGAAGCAGCAAAACACTATGAAACAGACAAAAGAGAAAGTCCGAAAGAAAACACAACCCAAACCGAAGAAGACGACGCAGATAGTAACTTGTTGATGTCTTAACCTGTTGAGATAAAGAGAAGCTTACCTCTGCCAGAGGTCCCGGGTCCTCCGCGTCTTGTCCACTGAGAACTCGCTTTAATTTATCCATTCCTTCTCGTCCAGGCACTCCCGGGTTTCGCCAGCTCCGATGTCGATTCTACCCACACCAATCAACCTTCTTTAGCTCCCCAAGACTACAACTCCCAGCGGATAGAACATTCAGATGCTCCTTAAGCTTCCGTCTTCCGCCCGGTGCCTTTCAGAGCTACTCATCCCGTACCGCCGTTGCGATGCAAGTCGGGAAATGTAGTTGAAGTGTTTCCCACCTACGCGCGTTGAGAAAGTTCTAGTCCTGAGGACAATGCTCTTTTCTTCACATATTTAGCTCGGTGTTTCTCAACGTCAGCAACTGTAAGATGTGTGGACTTCAACTCCCAGCATGTTGGCAGGTGAATTCTAAGAGCTGAAGTCTATACATCTTAAAGTTGCTGAGGTTGAGAAACACTGGTTTGTCTGATGCGGCGTTGCTCGTAAGAGGAAATGGGGACACTCAGGGCTTTTTTTCTCATAGAACGCCCAGAACGGAGTTCCGTCACCTTTTTTGGATGGAACCTTGTAGGGTAGGCAAGGTGGGTTGTATGAGGTGTGTGAGTTCCGGCACCATTTTTTTTTTTTTTTTACAAAAAAAGCACTGGGGATACTGTTTGTATATATTCTTTATTGCTGTATAAATTGAGCGCATTTTGACTGCTTTGGTTAGACAAGACTTATGATAAAGAGAAGCTTTATGTCTGATGTGAATTGAAACTTAATTGCAGAACTGAGAGTTATATATGGGAATGTATGAGAATAAATTGAACTATTAGAAATTGTCAAAAATGTACAGTGAGGGGAAAAATTATTTGATCCCCTGCTGATTTTGTACATTTGGCCGCTGACAAAGAAATGATCACTCTATAATAGGGGTGTCAAACAGCCGGCCTGCGGGCCGGATGCGTCATGGCGAAACCACGCCCACCCCATTTCCGGCAACAGAAAGTCACAATATATCACATGTCACGTGACATTGCGAATTTGACATCCCTGCTCTATAATTTTAATGATTTTTAACAGTGACAGAATAACAACAAAAAATCCAGAAAAACGCATTTCAAAAAAGTTATAAATTGATTTGCATTTTAATGTGTGAAATAAGTATTTGTTCCCTTATCAATCAGCAAGATTTCTGGTTCCCAGGTGTCTTTTATACAGGTAACGAGCTGAGATTAGGAGCACTCTCTTAAAGGGAGTGCTCCTAATCTTAGCTTATTACCTGTATAAAAGACACCTGTTCACAGAAGCAATCAATCAATCAGATCCCAAACTCTCCACCATGGCCAAGACCAAAGAGCTGTCCAAGAATGTCAGGGACAGGTTTGTAGGCCTATAGAAGGCTGGAATGGGCTACAAGACTATCGCCAAGCAGCTTGGTGAGAAGGTGACAACAGTTGGTGCGATTATTTGCAAATGGAAGAAACAAAATAACTGTCAATCTCCCTCGGTCAGGGGTCTATGCAAGATCTCACCTGGTGGAGTTTCAATGATCATGAGAACAATGAGGAATCAGCCCAGAACTACATGGGAGGATCTTGTCAATGATCTCAAGGCAGCTGGGACCATAGTCACCCAAAAAAAACAATTGGTAACACACTACGCCGTGAAGGACAGAAATCCTGCAGTGCCCGCAAGGTCCCCCTACTCAAGAAAGCACATGTACAGGCCCGTCTAAAGTTTGCCAATGAACATCTGAATGGTTCAGAGAACTGGGTGAAAGTGTTGTGGTCAGATGAGACCAAAATCGAGCTCTTTAGCATCAACTCAACTTGGCATGTTTGGAAGAGGAGGAATGCTGCCTATGACCCCAAGAACACGATCCCCACCATCAACATGGAGGTGCAAATATTATGCTTTGGTGGTGATTTTCTGGTAATGGAACAGGACAATTTCACTGCATCAAAGGGACAATGGATGGGGCCATGTACTGTCAAATCTTGGGTGAGAAGCTCCTTCCCTCAGCCAGGGGTCATGGATGGGTCATGGATGGGTATTCCAGTTTGACAATGACCCAAAACACAGGCCAAGGCAACAAAGGAGTGGCTCAAGAAAGAAGCACAATAAGGTCCTGAAGTGGCCTAGCCAGTCTCCAGACTTAATCCCATACAAAATCTGTGGAGGGAGCTGAAGTTTCGAACTGCCAAACAGCCTCGAAACCTTAATGACTTGGCAAGGATCTGCAAAGAGGAGTGGGACAAAATCCTTCCTGAGATGTGTGCAAACCTGTGGCCAACTACAAGAAACGTCTGACCTGTGACTGCCAACAAGGGTTTTGCCACCAATTACTAAGTCATGTTTTGCAAAAGGGTCAAATACTTATTTTACTCATTAAAATGCAAATCAATTTATAACTTTTTTGAAATGTATTTTTTCTGGATTTTTTTGTTGTTATTCTGTCTCTCAGTTAAGGCACATAGGCAGTTACAGCAAAAACGTCTGAACTCCTTAGAGAAACAAGCAAGCTGTTACATAGATTTGGTGGAACTAAAGTACAGTATTAAACATATGTTAGAGTAGGTATATAGAAAAGGGGTTTTCTTCTAGGTTTGGCAGGAGATATTGCTGGAAAGGCAATGAAACAGGATATTATGGGACAGGACTACAGAGAGCAGTTGCTATTTTTCTTTCTTTTTCTGTGCTTTGCTTAACATTATTTACCTGAAGGGAAATAATCTGATGGGCATATCTATATTATCCCTGCCTAAGCAGGAGGTTGAACTAGAAGACCTCCAAAGTCCCTTCTAACTCTATTATTCTATGTTATTATTCCTTAGTGAGACTAGCTGCATCAAAAATTTACATCATTACTGCTGCAATATAAAACTTTTCTGCATTAGTGACAATCCCAACAGTAATGGCTAGATTATCCTATAAATTAACAATAAGGTCAGACCCTAAGGCAAAATTACTGTTCCTGTTTTACACATTCATGATTTAATTATTATGCCATGTTGAAGGAAAGTAAGAACACATGGTCACTAAGCCATGCTTAGCTTTAATATACTTTAATATTCTATTCCCACACAGAATGGATTTTTCTTATGGAGTCCCTTCATATTTTTATTTGATTTTCAGTATAAATACTGAAATTTGAAGCAGAGAGTCCAAGGAAAACAGATAAAAGGCAGCATTCAAATGCAACTGTGTAACTGAAATCTCATTGAGTCCCTTTAACATCCAGGTTTTTGAATCAACAATACTGGTGAGTATATTTTCATGACTTGTATATGGAAGAAACAACTATGGTAGTTTTCTGTACCTAGTGTAATCTACCATCACATATTGTATAAATTCTTATCAATAATTATTTAAATATTGTAGAACTAGAATGTTAGCTACAATTAAGCAAGAGTTCTCCAGAGGATATTAAACTCCAATCTACTCTAGACAGCAGGGTGAAATGGACAAACCAGAGAATGAATAACTTTCTGGAATTAAGGCACAGGTTGGCAGTAATGTACAGCCTTCCCCATCACTGACTTTTCACCAAGCTGTCTAGGCTTGTTAAGAAAATCCAGTGAGCAAAGTAATATTGGCCATCACCCTTAGAAGTTCATGAGTTAAGAGTTTCTTCTCCAAGGATAGCCAAGGAAGCAAGTCAACTAAAACTTAAAGATCAATCCCACTATTACAGGATATTTTTTTTTCTTCCGTTCCATTGTATCCAATTCTCAGACGCTGACTGGACATGTCCCTGCAGGTTTCTTGACAGTTTTTCAAAAGTGATTTACCATTGCTTCTTTCCTAGCATGGACAGAAAGTGACCAGCCCAAGGTCACCCAGCTGGCTTTGTGCTGAAGGCGGGACTAGAATTGATGTCTTCCAGTTTCTAGCCTGATGCTTTAACTATTATACCAAACTGTTCTCTATTACAGGAATTACATGCCAACAAATCTGAAGAAAATCAAATTGAAGAAAAAAATATTTTTAAGTTAAAAAAGGCCTTTCTTATTGTAGTATCTAAAATGAAAGTGAGATGCTAAATGCAACTTTTTTATTTTGTGACTGAACACAAACCATTACATGTTTCTGACTAAACAACATATGCCTTTTTCATGCTGACAAGAGTACAACTTTAGTAAATAGTTCTGCACATGTTCTATTGAAATGAAGGGGTGCACAATATAGTCTTCATTAACTTCAAAGTTGGAAATATTGATGGTATACTGTATCTTTTGAAGGTATGAATTTGGTTAATTTCACAAGGAAATGCTTACAAGAACAAATCCCACACAGGAGATTTCACTCCTGTTAAATGTCAATTGGAACATGCATGATACAGGAATAAGGATCCAGTTTTCTTTCCCTCTCTAGTCTGAATTTGACAGTTATGCAACTATTTGTTGTAGGACAGAATGAATAAAATAAATTTAACTTCTTCACATATTATAGAAAGAAATTTTAAAGTAAGACTAATTTTATATTTGTAGGTGTAGTTTGTCCTTGCTTTTGAAATCTTTTTGCTTCTTGTTTCTTCTTCTAGTTATTCCAATCATTGGCTCTATTTTCATATACAACTAGCAATCATGACTAGCTATGCGGTATAAATAGTTAAAGCTCTCTCAAGATATAGGACTGATGTATTTTTCTTAATAAATTCTGAAGTCAACATACTGTATGTATTGGGAAAACATACTCATTTTTCAAAGCAAGCCAAATCCCTGCTTGGCTAAATTATTTCCTATGCATGTATGTTAAAGTAGTGAACATTCATTGTTGTTTCAGGTAAGGCTTAATATGGCTTAAAACCTAACAGCTAGCCTATACATCTTTACTCTTAACACACTGCATAATGTCCAATACAATCTGTTGCTAATACAATGGACACTGAATTAGACTGCCTTATCTTAGTACTTCTGAAAGAGTTACTTATTTGGCTTTTCAAAACCAAAACACAGAATAAAAAAAGGACAAAACAATCTTATTGATTTTCAAACTCTTCTCCTTTGAGGCAATGGATAAGAAAAAACATATCAGAGAAATGTATATATTTATACCAGAATGACATTTTCTGAGTCTATCATTATAATATATAAAAAGAAACCTAAAATTACCAAAATCTCAAATATTCTTTTGCTTGCTATCAAATAGGGTGGAGAGATATACCAAAATGTAAGAACTGAAAATGAGTTTTAGAAATAAACTGATGAAACAACTTCTCCACAATAGTTCAGTTTATCTTCTATAAGAAATATATGAATGGTGCAGTTTGATAACTATTTTATAAATATATGTGCAATCATTTTTATCAAAAATACTGACAACTTAAAGTATGCATATCTGTCATAGCTGCAATAGCCCAGTACTAATACTTTATATTGTTACAAATATTATAAGAATTTAATTTGTGTTAACATCTAATCAATATAAACTTGCAATATTTTTAAAAGGAGGTAACTTCAGATTGACAAGAAGGAGCATTAACAATTTCAAGTTGTTATTAACATCTAATTTATGACAGAATGGTAGGAATCAGGCAAAAATGGATCCTACTGTTATCTGTACTTAGTCAACTTATTATGTAGCTTGTTTGTTTTAAAATTAGTGAAAGTTTTAGCTTTGTTTATAAGGTAACAAAGCTCATATCTGATAAGACAAGTAGCAAGCGAGTATTATTAAGAATACCATTCAATATACATTAAATTTCATGAACTCATCAAGCATCAATGATCCCTCAACAAATTAATCAAATTTAACCTAGAGAAGAAACATAATTAATTATTCTCTTTCACACCATATGAAACACAAGTCCTTTTATAACAAAAGACTATGTTAAAACAACGTCCTTAAAAGTTACTGCGCTTATGAAGAATTTGTTTTGATTTTTGAACATCTGTGCAGTCTTTCCTGAAATGTTGCATACTTTAATATAACTGATCCTGATTTGGGGATTTACTCTCCAATATCAGAAACATCCGTTTCCTATTAGATCAAAGCATATTCAAAACAGAGACACAATGAAAGTACAGGAAAAACTTCCAAATTAGCTTTACCCACCCAAGGCTACCAAAATTTTAGCCAGGCCTCCAGACAGATCTTTATCCAGCATCTTCAGTGCTAAGGGCTCAGAAGATAAGAACAGAGTCTATATCAAGTTCATCAGATTATGCAGCTCTCATTAAGTGCCTTCTGGTGCAGCTGCAGATTCAGGGCATGAGTTCTCAGGAAATTCCAGCTTCTCACAAATATTTTCTTTGACGGGCAAATACTGGGCAATCTCATTAGGATCCGTGAATAGTGTTGGGGGAATGTGCTTGAAATAGGAGAGAGATTATTATTTAGAGAACAACAAAAGAGAAAGTATATTTAGATATAAATGTAAGTTAACATTACATTAACATGTTTTGCAAATATTCTTTTAACTACAGATTTTTGTTTTCCAAAGTTTTCTCCTCTTCTACTCTGAAAACTGGACAGCTAGAGAAAAGTGAAATGAAATTGCTTATTTATTTATATGGTCTCCCAACTTGCATTTACAACTCTGAATGCAACTGTACTACATAACAAAATTCTTATATCAGGGACGGTGGTGTGCTGGAACTGGTCTGCATTTTTCTGGAATTTTATGAGGTGATTAAGAGCAGAAATGAGGCTCAATGCCTAGCATGCACTGTTCCATAGCCAGTAGTGGTGGCAAAAGACATTTAGTAATATACACCACTGAATAGAAAAGAATAATATGAATTGGAAAACGTATTTACCAAGTCCTTTCCTATATTACATAATATTAGACACTCAGATGTTTGTCTGAGATCATTTATGGAATAATTATAACAAGAAATGAAGTTTAATATTTTGAATAAGTAGAATTTTGTTATTAAAATGTTTTAGTAGTTAACAGGAATATCTGAATTTAATATGATGAAGTTTTTACTTCTAACCCTGCACAAATACACTTGAGTGATCACAAGAATGAGAAGCTACTATGTTATGAGAACACATGCTAATCAGTAACTAAGCATGGATTAAATAAACTTCCCACAGGATAAAAATCAGTCATTTCTACTGTACAAACTACAATTCAAGGATGTTAATGAAACTTTAAATTCTTTCAGAAATGACTTTTTATCCTGAGAGAGGTATTGTAAAAATTGGTCTTGTCTAGGAACATTAGTTCTATTATCATGCCAATTTCCATCTCTCCCAAACCCACAGGAAAACTGATATTGAAAGATTATAATATTTGATATTGAGCACAAAGAAGGAAAGAGTAGAAAAAGAGAAGGGGAAAAAAAACTCAAAGGGAAGCAATACACTGTAGGAAGCAGCAGACTCTTATTTTGGCTGGCAGATGAAAAAAAAAAAAAAGCCAGCACACAAAAAAGACCCAGTCAAGTTGTCCACTGTTAATATACAAAAGCAAACAAACTTGAAGAGGAAATGGCCGAATTGTCCAAGTCATACAAATAGGCCCACTACTAAACTGTACAGAATATAACTAGAAGTTTTAGGACATCAGGTAGAATATACATATCTATTTTTCCAAAAGGAAAATGAGTTTCTTTAGGACTAGTCAAAACATTTTAAACAAAAAATCTTCTAAGAACAAAATATACTATTAAGTAACTTGCATTGCACATTTTCCTATTTTTGAATTACTGACAGACTTGTTGATTTTATCATTTTACAGCATTAAAAATAATTATTGTTTTATTTCTCTCATATAAACAATAAATGCTTAAAAATAGTGGTGCTACTCAGTATCCATAAAAATTTACTAATTCTGACAAAAACATGTTTTAAATGTTAATACCTTGAGATTTGATATTTTGCTTTCCCTAGAAGTGTATTCCCGCAACATGTATGATTTGTTGGCCTAGTAAAAAGAAAGCAGTTAAAATGTATTTTCATGACATTGAAACAATATGTACATATAAGTTTCAAATAAAATGAAACTTCTGTAGTACAAAAGTAATCTATTGCAACATTAACACAAAATACTGTGGTGATATCCAATAAAAATGCTGTAAATCTAGTATTATTTACAAATAGTAATAAACCAACTACATTCATGTTGGAAATGCTGGATATAACATATGTGGATTCACATGCCATCTTAAATCTGGTAAGATCCATACAGGATGTACTTGGGTAGTATATATCTATAAACTGGAATGTACACAGTATTACAATTATACAGACAGTATATAAATTAAAATACTAATGGCTGCACATCTCATTCCTAATATTTTTAGGTCTACTAGACAAAAGCTATGTATAGAGAACAAGACAGAGAAACCGTTGGATTATTTGAAGTCTATTCAACCAGTTATACAAATAAACAGCTAACAAACCTGCAACTATCATATTTCTAAATTTAGAGTTTAGAGACAATAACATACATGTATTAGCAAATAAAATGTCACTTCTAAACATCAAGGCATACCCTGTTTTTCATGATTTTTGGAACCAACTGTTCACTTTATGACTTTCTTACCTCATGATAAATTCTTGTATCATTCATCCTAATAAGAACTCCATCAACTCGCAAGAAAAACCTCAACAGCACAAAAAAGCTGGAAGGCATTACTCTCTGTCAAACATAACAAGAATAATTTGCACTTGCCCACATTTAAAACATATTACTCTAACAGGTAGTTAGAAAGATAGTAAATGTCTTAAAAGCCTTCATTAGTCAATAATATTACCTTTCCAGTAACATTTAGGAAGATAATCTTAATAGATCTTAATTTCCTGCAGGCATAATACATGATCAGAAAAATCTGTAAGCTAATTAGTTTTGCATTTTTATCAGTCTGGGAAAATGTCAGCAATGAAGACATTATTTTTAGTATGTTATTATTGTTGAACCACTGATTGGTTCAAAATTGGAAAAGGAATCCGGCAAGGCTGTATACTGTCGCCCTGCCTATTTAACTTATATGCAGAGCACATCATTGTAACATTGTTGTTACTTGCGAAGTCATGTCCGATCCATCGCAATCCCATGGACAACCTTCCTCCAGGCCTTCCTGTCCTCTACCATCTTCTGGAGTCCATTTAAGCTCACGCCTACTGCTTTAGTGACTCCATCCAGCCACCTCATTCTCTGTCGTCCCCTTCTTCTATTGCCCTCCATCTTTCCCAGCATTAGGCTCTTCTCCAGAGAGTCCTTCCTTCTCATTAGGTGGCCAACGTATTTGAGTTTCAACTTCAGGATCTGGCCTTCTAAAGAACAGTTAGGGTTGATCTCCTCTAGGACTGACCAGTTTGATCGCCTTGCAGTCCAGGGGACTCGCAGAAGTCTTCTCCAGCACCATAGTTCAAAGGCTTCAATTCTTTTGCACTCAACCTTTCTTATGGTCCAACTTTCACAGCCATACATTGCAACTGGGAAAACCATGGCCTTGACTATTTGTACTTTTGTTGGCAGGGTGATGTCTCTGCTTTTTAGTATGCTGTCTAGATTTGCCATAGCTTTCCTCCCCAGGAGCAAGCGTCTTTTAATTTCTTGGCTGCACTCCCCATCTGTGGTGATCTTGGAGCCAAGGAAGATAAAATCTGTCACTACCTCCATTTCTTCCCCATCTATTTGCCAGGAATTGAGAAGCCGGATGCCATGATCTTGGTTTTCTTAATGTTGAGTTTCAAGCCAACTTTTGCACTCTCCTTCTTCACCCGCATTAAGAGGCTCTTTAGTTCCTCTTTACTTTCTGCCATTATTTTTAGTATATAGCAGTGTTTCTCAACCTTGACAATTTTAAGGCATGTGGACTCCAACTCCCAGAATTCCACAGCCAGCCATGCCTTAAAATTGTCAAGGTTGAGAAACACTGATATATAGGTATATAAGTATATAGGGAGCCTTCAACTTACCAGCATTTATTTAGTGATTGTTCAAAGTTACAATGGCACTGAAAAGTGACTTATGACCATTTTTTCCACTTTTGACCATTGCAGCATTCCCACAGTCATGTGATTTACATTCAGATGCTTGACAACTGGTTCACATTTATAATGGTTGCAATGTCCCAGGGTCATGTGTTCTCCTTTTGCAACCTTCTGACAAGCAAAGTTAATGGTAACCATGTTATTAACTTAACCATGTTACTAACTTAACAACTGCAGTGATTCACTTAACAAATGTGGCAAGAAAAGTTGTGAAATTGAGCAAAACTCATTTAACAAATTTCTCACAACATAAATTTTGGGCTCAACTGTGGCCATACCCATATAGAGGACTATACATTTTTGCACAGAAAGTGTTTCCTGCATCATTTTAAAATCAGTCTATTGCATTTTTGCAATGACTTGTTTATATCATTATATAATTTAATTAATTCCAACAAAATAAAAGGTTATTATAATACCATGCTATCTTTTTTCTTTAGAAACTCATGAGTGAATTTTTTTGCCAATGTTTTAATCAAAGGAAGAGTCAATATGAAAATCACTCGTAGATTTCTAAGCTTTGAAATTTAAACAGGAAAACACCAAAAAGGAACACATTTAAGGGATATTACTAATAGGTTTGTTATTCTCTCAGTTCTGTATTTTTCTGCATTTTCTACAATTATGGAAGAAGCATGTAAAAGATTACTGGACTCACAATTTTGACACTCAGACTTGAAACCCCATGATCATGAAGTTCATCTTCAAACAGGAGCACTTCCTCAAAAAACATTATCTGTTCCCTGGCTTTTAATTTCTCTGTATCTATATGTTCTGTTGTAGAAGAAACCTAGAACAACACAGCAGAAATTAAATGTTCTTTCTTATGTAATTGATTCCCCAACTATTCAACAAATTCATTCTTGCAAATAGTTGACCATTGCAATTATACTTTTAACTTTAGTGTTTCACCAAGCAGAGTTCCTTTATAGTCTGTTGTGTAAGTCCAATCATATGGTTTAACAACTTCCTTTGTGTGTTCGGGCTCAGACCTACAGGAAAAGACAAATATAGCATGTCAGGTATAGGACCAGGCAAAAACTATTTCTATACATCTATTTTGCAAAATACATCAATGTTGCCTCTATAAATCAATATGCGTCTGTAAACTGATAGATTTAATGTGCTGAGAGAGAAAATGTGGCAAGGCATTACAGTATTTTTTTAATACTGTAAACAAATTCTTATTTGTTTTCCTCAAAGATGTTAGCTATAGAAGCAATGTAGCCCCCTTCATTTCTTCCTGCTTTTATGCTTATACTTATAATCGTGCGCACTGTGATCTTAAAGTAAATTCTGTTTAAATCACTTGTATAGAATCAGATGGTAGCTGTTCAAAGATGAAGCAAAAATATCTAAAATAGGATATTTCATCAGGATTCTTCATCAGACAGTTTGATATATTTGAAGAATTATTTTTGTACAAAACCACATGAGCTTCAGAATTAACAAATTAACTATGATTTCAAAAATTTTAAAGATTAAGATTAAAGATTAATTTTAAAAGTACCATTCATAACATAGAAAACATAGGAAGTCAGAAAGAGTAGGGTAGGGTAGAATAGAATAGAACAGAATAGAAGCTGGAAGGGACCTTGGAGGACTTCTAGTCCAGCCCCCTGCTCAAGCAGGAGAACTTATACCATCTCAGACAGGTGAATATCCAGTCTCTTCTTAAAAATAACTGTCAAGATCACATATCAAGTGAACAACATAAATAAATACAGATTATACCTATTAAGGAACTGCAACCCTTCAGAATTGATTCCCAAAAGATGCTTCAGGGTACACTAGCGCACATGTAGGACCTGCCTACAACTCTTTAACCCAATAGTTTTATAAGGATTACATGGCTTATCTGCTTTAAGGAGGTGGGACAACTAGCAAAATAAGAAGCTGCTTTAAAAAAAAATTCAGACAAGTGTAAGATCTGAAGCATTATACAGCTTCCAAAGAGCCCATTAAGCTCCATAGAGCCCATTAAGCTATATTATTTAAAAAAACCACACAAATATGCTATTACCTGCTTTCTTGCCACTCTTCTGCACAAGCAACTTTAACCATTCCTTGGGAGTTATTTACACATTTTAAAGCATCAGTTGCATTGAACTCTATGCCAAAGAACAGTTCATGCTGAATTCTTAGGATATTGTCACCAAACATCATTTCCGGAACACATGGCATATGGAGTTCTTCAGCTAACCTACACAGACATAAGATTAGATTGTTTTGGAGCTACATACTGATTTTATAATTTAAAATAAAGATCTATATTTTACTATAGAATATTTTAGTATACATTTATTACATAAAATTTGAAATTAGCAGTTAGATGGCTTCCCTCTTTTTTCCCAAACCCTAGATAGTTATAATTCACTTTTAGGGAAGATGCAAGGTAAGATTGTTGGGTATATGGAAGGTAATTCTAATATAAATATGAAATCAGAACAGCAATCTAACACAGTCTGACAAATACAAGCCAATCACAGCTTAACAGAAACAGACACAAAATCATATATATAAAGTTATTCATATATTCGGAGCACTCCTTGGAAAGTGTTGTTAAACTGAATGAAAAATATATTGAAAATAGATTGATATGGGTATATCACTAAGAGAAACTGATTTGTAAAGCTCTCTAACAAAACAGTTTAATTTTAAAAGTCTGAAAAGTACAGGTAGTCCTTGACTTACAACAGTTCATTTAGTAACCGTTCAAAGTTACAATGGCACTGGAAAAAGTGATTTATAACTATTTTTCACATCTACGACCTTTGTAGCATCTCCATCGTCACATAATCAAAATTCAAATGCTTGATAACTGGTTCATAGTTATGACAGATGCAGTGTCTCTGGGTCACGTGATCATCTTTTGTGACCTTCTGACAAGCAAAGTCAAGGGGGAGTGTAGATTCACTTAACAACCATGTTGCTAACTTAACAAACACAATTAACAACTGTGGCAAGAAAAGTTGTAAAATTGGGCAAAACGTAACAAATGTTTTATTTAGCAACATAAATTTAGGGCTAAATTATGGCTGTAATTCAAGGACTACTTGTATTCTCCACAGGAACCACTAATCATACCAAATACTCCACTGCTAACTTTGTAAATAAGAAGCCAGGGGAAAAAAATCAGCATCTTGATAATAGATAGCATTCTGCAATCACCATGCCTCAACTTTCCATTTGCGTCATATTATTACGAAATCTTTCGCAGATTACGATTGGGGAAAAAGGGGAATTGTCATGCACAATATACATTTTGCATCTATCATAAGAATTCCTCAACATTTTGCCATCACACCTCTTTTCTGTGTAATGTTAAGATACACATTTCCCCTAAAATCCAAAGATCAAAATGAACACAGATGAAAAATGCAAACAAAACAATGGCATTTTGGGGAGGATGGATTTACTGTAACAGTGAAACTAAAAAGTTCTTCACATTTCCTCTGCACTCTGTCTGTACCTCCAGGGAGGTACACTTCATAGTTTGGGAAGCTCCTGTTTAACAGCATAAACTATTCCTGCAACTGTGTTTATAAACCTGGACCGCACAAATCAGCACTCTTAACTGAAACCAGGGAGTCAGAAAACACAATTCTCTGTTGCCATTTAATGATTGCCCAGATTTCTGAAGCCCAGATATGGAAGAACCCTGATACCCTCTAATGTGTTGCTCTACAAAATCCAGGTTACACATCTCAGGGCCATTAAGGACCAAAGCCTGGGCCAAGGCATCACTAGACTAAAACCCAACGATGCTTTTTCCAAAGCAACTGGATTTCCTTGTTTTTCTTTGAAGACGTTTCCCTTCTCATCCAAGAAGCTTCTTCAGCTCTGACTGGATGGTGGGGAATGGAAGGATTTATACTCCTTGCAGACAGCTGATCATTTGCATTATTTTAGCGAGTCATTGAGGCCACCTGGAGGTTTATCTGTGTTGCTAGGGTCACCTGAGACATACAAATGGGAGTGGAGCCTCCTTGGAACTGTAGACAGGAGAAAGATGATGTCGGATCCCTCCCCCTCTGTTGAGAGAGAGCTGTTCAGTTTTGACACAGATAGCCTCTTTGACTCGTGAAAAAGCATCTTTGGGACTATCACCTGGACGACTGAGAATCTCCATAGACCTCTAGGCTAAAAGTAGCGAGCGCAAGGCAAGCGGCCAGCCCAGAGTCCTTTCGACCCCCTCACTCTTAGCAGGGGTCGCCCGATTTCGCTCCCCCCCCCAACAATCACCCTCAATCGCACCTCTCGGCATCGGCCGACTTGATGATGTGGGTCCGGGCGGCCGTTAGCTTCCACGGCCCGAAGGCAAAGTCGCGGCGGCTGCTTTTGAAGACAGGCATCATAATGGCGGCGTCAACTCCAAGACAGCAAGCATAGAGACGGGAAAGCTTCCTTCGGCGATGACAAGAATAAACCCCCAGATAGGAACCTTGTAAACAAACGACCTCGAGTTTCTCTTCCTCACGCAGCAGCAGCAGCAGCAGCAGCAGCAGCAGCAGCACGGCCGTCAAGTATTCCACTTCCGCTTCCGGGTTTTCATGCCTCCGTATGAAATGAAAAGGCTTCAAAAGTTCGTCTTCCGGTTCCTGGTCTCCGTCGGCGATGCCTTTCATGAATGGAGCACGTGCTTAAAAATTAACTCAAAAAATTCGTCCACCAAGCGGTTTATTTTTTTTTCTATTGTTGGTGCAGACCATTGAAATAAGGTTCCTCCGCAAGACAAACTGCAAGAAAATACTTGTAAGCATCTAGCAGCGAAAGGGCAATTAGATTATTTCTCCAGCAAGGCATAAACGTTTTCTTTCATATATTATAAGAGGAAAGTAGTGCTAGTCTGTGGTCATCAATACCCAGAAAGAAAAATTTTAAAACTTTAAAAAGAAAGAATTTCAGAAATGATCGGAAACCAAACCTTGCGTTAGCTAGTGTTGAAATCAAAGTGCAATCTATATGCATCCCTGAGGTTAAAATTGGCTTTAATGGTACCCTGTAGAGATAATAAGTCATATAGGGGTTTGAAAAAGTTTGAATTTTGTTTTCTCGGAGAATGGAAAAAAACCTGGTTTCTGTGTCTTTAAAACAAATAGATTCATTTCAACTTTCTGCACCATCGAGTTGACCATGACTTAGAAACAATACTGTACAATAGCAGGAATTCAATTGAGATAGTTGTCAGCTGTCTGTAGGAGTATAAATATTTCCATTCCCCACCATCCAGTCAGAGCTTCAAAAGCTTCTTGGATGAGAAGCCAAACGTCTTCAAAGTAAAACAAAGTCGAGTTGCCTCATGAAAAAGCATCTTTGGGATAACTGAAATAGTTCTGCTCCATGTAAATAATTGGAAAAATAGTACATCTTTTATTTCTGCCCTTTATGAAAGGTGGACTCAAAATCCTTGTCTCTTTTTTATCTTTCATTTTAGTTAACATTAACTAAATTGATTACTAAATTGTAATTTAGTAAACTAAATTGGTTTGGGAAATAGTAAAGGATATGTAATAAATTGCTTGCTTAAGAAGTAAAATCTCTGGTACTGTATTCTGTGTTTAAGATGAGGAAAATCATTGAGAATACAGTAGTCCAGTTACTGAGAACCCACAGATTTTGCTAGGTTAGAATATTTACATTGCTTAATGTTCTTCAGCAACATCTGGAAATCCACTTTTTCTTTGCACTGGGATCATATTTTTATATCAGTTATTTTTTTTAATACAAATAATTTTAAAATTGGCTCTTTTATTGTTCCAGCGAAAAAAATAGATAACTGAGCAATTGCTGCTTTCTTTTTTCATTATAGCCTGTAGATTAAGCAGACTACCTTACTCCTCTGAGCCAGTAAAAAGCAGCTTCTAAAACTAATACTGCACAGTCATACAAACCTTGGATTTAGTTTGCCTGATTTGCTGGCTGCCTTTCGCTCAATTCCACCTTTCAACTGTGTTCGTTCAATACATTAAAAAAGCTCATTAAAAAGCACAAGTTAAATGCCATTTTATACCTACCCTCATTATATAATGTTCTATTCATTATAAGTGTTATGTATAAACAAAATTCAAGCAAACTGATAACTTCCTAATCATTTTTTTTATATAGTCTAATTGCTGCCTCTGTAGCTTTTGACGGTGACTGATGCAATATCTGGTTTGGTAGCCATGTGTATAAACTTTTAGCTGCTCAGTTAAGATAGAATGTTGCCCTGGTATTGTGGAGGTATACCATTGTGAAGCTTCCTTAGATCTTCTTGTGCCATCGGACATTGGCGATCATGTTGGCAATCCTGTTTTTATTAGCAGCCGCACGAAAAAGTGCTGCTGAGTTTTGTTCAAACCAGTCCCTTAGATTTTGAAGCCATGATGTTCTTCTTCTGCCTGGACCTTGTTTGCCTTCAATGTTTCCCTGGAGGATTAAATAGAGTATGCCGTATTTTTCTGGGTGTCGCATCACGTGTCCGAAATATTCTAATTTTCATTTTTTAATTGTTTTGATGATTTCCTTTGGCTTTCCCAGGCGGCTTATCACCTCATTTCTGATCTTGTCAACCCAGCTTATACATAACAGCCTCCTGTAAATCCATATTTCAAATGCTTCTAGTCTCTTCGGGTGGCCTTCTGTCAGAGACCAACTCTCTACTCCATAGAGCAGGATAGAAAAAATATAGCATCTGACAAGCCTGATTTTCAGTCTTAGGCTTATGTCGTGACTGCAGAAGACCTTTTTCATTTTGAAGAATGCTGTTCGAGCTTTCTCTATCCTTGTCTTTACTTCAGCGGTCTATAACATCTATCTCAGTGCTATTCTATGGTTCTGTATTATGGTGATTTTATTATGGTTTTATCTTCATCTTAATAAAAAATAAAATAAAAATAAGTAAAAATTCTATATCTCTTCATTTTAACCAGAAATGTAATTACGTTTGCTAAAAAAATAAAGTTATAACCAATAATAGAACAAGTACCATGTTCATATTCATCAATATTTCACATATTACAACAAGAACATTCTTAAACAGAAGGGCAAGAGGAGTAGACATCTAGTATATAGAAGGGTGTGTGATGGCTCAGCGGTTAAAGATGCTGAGCTTATCCGTTGGAAAGCTGATAGCCTCAGTTTGAGATCTGAGCACTGCACGGCGTTTTGAATTCTCATTATCTGCCACAGCTCTTGCCAACCTAGCAGTTCAAAAGCATGCAAATGCGAGTAAATAGCAAATACCGCTTCGGTGGGAAGGTAACAGCGTTCTATGCACCTAGGCGTGCAGTCATGTTGGCTACATGACCACAGAAGCATCTCTGGATAACGCTGGCTCCCTCAGCTAAGAAAGAGAGATGAGCACCACCTGCTACAGTCAGACACGACTGGACAGGGAAAACATTTACCTAACCTTTTTACACCTCACTACTATAGATACAGTTATTTTTTTAAAACCTCAGATTTCCTACCAAAAATAACTTCGATTTTCTGTCATATAATTACCGTAGTTCAACCAGCTTGGCATATTATACGGACCTGATCATTTGGTGCCAGGTACATGAAGCATACTTTATAAGTTGGCATGATATATGATATATGTATCTGGCCAATTGTGGCTGATTCAAGAAACGGTGCTAAAACAAAGTATGGCTACATCTAAAGTATGAACCAAAGTTGGGAGTGATGGAAAGTGCAATTTTTAAAAATGAGTTATTTCTCTGTGTAGTAATAAAGACCATCTAAGGGGAAAAAACAGCAATACAGGTAGTCCTCAACTTATAACAGATCATTTAGTGACCTTCAAAGTTACAGCAGCACTGAAAAAAGTAACTTCTGATCGTTTTTCACACATGACCATTTCAGCATCCCCATGTCATGTGATAAAAATTCAGATGCTTGGCAACTGACTCATATTTATGACAGTTACAGTGATCTGGGATCATGTGATCACCTTTTGCAACCTGATATGCCAAGTCAATGAGGAAGCCTGATTCACTTAACTGTGTTACTAGCTTAACAACTATAGTGATTCACTTAACAACAGTGGCAAGAAAGGTTGTAAAATGGACAAAATTCACTTAACAAATGTCTTAGCAACAGAAATTTGCAACAGAGGTCATAAGTTGAGGACTACCTGTAGGCTATTAGAGCATGTGCATCATCTCAGCAGTGGTCCAAAAATATAAATAAATGGGCCTGAGGTTTATTTGAGAGATTTATTACTGTTCTTGTTCTACACATGGAGGATTTTAATAGGAACCAGAACTTAGGGATATGCGTAACTTACAAGATGTGGAAATGTTAGAATGCTGCTGTTGCTTAGCTTTGTACAACAAACTTTTCCATTGACTCTATTGGTTACCAGACCCAGTCTGTAAAAAATATGTCAAGAAAAGTTGCCATCAAGCCATCCTGACCTGGTTTTAATGAAAACAGCAAGGAAAATGACATTTTATAGCTTATACAGTAGGTCATCTCCTGCATTCTTGTTCCTTCATTAATTATTTTGCTTTGTTTGGAGAAGTTAAACACGTTTTCTTTTTAGCTTTTTTAGAATGTACAATGTGACCAACACTGTTCTTTACCAAAGCAATGAAAAGACTTTATAGGTGAAATGACAGCAGCTATAATTTCCTATTAGATCAAAATTTAGAGAGAGAAAAGTAGTACATTTTTTTTAGATTGGCATGCAGTTCTGACATCTTTATATTGCATTAACAAATAACTAGTTTTTAAAATTCTTAAAGGCCGCTGTTCACCTAGAGATGGATGACAAATAGTTTGATTCAATTCTCACATTGTGCTAAAGCATGGTTTACTTGATCATATTCTGCTAAATAAACTGCAGTCAGTGGGCTGAAATAGTTCAGTAAACCTTTATGAACCTCTGGTTTATGTCTGCTTATATGACAGTATATGATTGGTTGCTATGTTGTGTGAAATTTTGTTTGAAATAACTACTGGTTTAATTGTATAGTACAGCACATTTTAACACTATGCAGTATTTTAAGTTACGGTACCACTTAACTGAAAGTAAATTCTACTGGCTTCTATTTTAAAGACATAGAATGGCAGTGTAAAACAAACATATTTATTAATTTGAAGCCAGGGGTATACAAATTAGCCAATATAAACTGTTGGAAGAATTGTGATTTATTTATCATCATTTATTTAAACAATGTTCCTTTATTTAAAATGTGGGGTTTTTTTAATCTACAAAACTTCCCTTTATACTGAATTTGTCTGGTATAGAAGTTGTATCTAAACAAACCATCTCTTCATTTTTGTTTTGCATTTGTGCAAGTGATGCTCTTCAGCTCAGGAAAGAAAAACGATATTCAGTAAAGCAGAGGACAGCGTGAAAGTTTAACGAAGAAATGGAATTTTGGTGGGCCGGGCTAACTAATATAAATTATTTATTTAATACTGGTGGAGAATATTGCCTTTGAAAATTTTGTCCCATTTTCTCTATAAACCAGCCTTTTCCACATAAAGACAATTTGTTAAATCTGTTTTCTAACTGTAAGGGAATTACAAAAAGAGAAAAGA